ACTTTTCTTATCCCAACATGATGAAAACAGTATCTTATGTTTTCTTCCTAAATTTTTCAAGCTTGGCTTTTCAAAAGTGGTCTTTAGTACTCTTCCTTTTCCATTTCTGTTCCCTTCGTTCTTGAACAAAGTATTCTTAAGGGTGTTAGGTGGGTAGAAGCAGGTAGGTGCCCATGTGGGGCTCTGGGGGAGCCTCAGTGGCCTCGCCCAAGTGCAGCGAGGAGGCTGTTCATGGAGGAAGGTGGCTTAGTGTGGAAGGTCAGACCCTTCCACACTAATCGGGATGAGGAGGGTATCAATGTGGTGTGGGTGGCCCAGGATGGGAGTCAGAGCCCAAGCAGGGAGAGGAAGGTGTGGGTATCAGAGCCCTAGTGATGTGAGGTGGGTCTGTGTGGGGAAGTGAGAGGATGGTGGTGGAGATGGGAGATGGGTTACATCCAGTGGGATTGATTAAATAGGTAAATATGTATATCAATGCATTAAAGATAGTGAGAGCTGTTAGGGAAAGGAGTTAAATATATGGGAAGGGAGAAGATGAAAGTGAACGCTGTGGTGTTGGGTCAGAACTGGAGGTATCAGTGTGAATCCATGATTGTTGATGTATGTATACATTGATATATAGAGAAATAAATATAGATGTAAATGGATGTCTATCAATTATCTACCTACACATACATACATAAATACATACTCTCTAACTGTCCACTGAGAGAGCCCAGATGTTGGCTTCAAAATAGTATATTCCCTAAAACGAACCAGAGCCCTTGGGGGAAATGGTTGATCCCAAGTTGGGAAATGGCAAGATGAACTTCGACATCTTGTGCCAGAAAGCAAGTAAGTGCCCAAAGAATGGTGTGGAACATGTCAAAAGGACACAAGAGCCATCTTGATGGAGTTCCACTGCTAAATCAGGGATAAACTGAGCATTAAAAGAAATAACATAGCAAAGAATGAAATTCCTTGAATACAATAGGAAACCATGAATCCGTAAGTAAGTAAATGAATATATTAAGCATTTGATGGGGAATATGATCACTTACATAGTATTAAGGTACCTCCTCACAAAATACTTACTAATTACAAAGGGGAAAAGAATAATTTTATGGTGGGGAAGCCTGGCAGACATCCCCATAATCAAGTGATCAAAGTCAACATCATTAGTAATGGGTCAAATCAAAATTCCATGCCGTCTAATAGGATGCGATGGAAAGAACACAGCAGCACTTCTGAGATACTCCTGCCGAAGATGCATAACCTGAATCTCATTAGGAGGAAACATCAGACAAGCCCGCCTTGAAGAACACTACAAAATATAATAACTAGCCCATCACCTTCAAAAGACTGGGGAGCTGATCCAAATTAAAGAAGATCAAAAAGATATGCCTGCTAAATGCAACATGTGATTCTGAACTGGATCCTTTTGTTATAAAGGGCATTATTGGGACAGTTGTTGAGACTCGAATAGAGTCTAAGGATTAGATGGTGATGACAGATCCATGTTAATTTCCTGATATTGATGGTTGTATTGTGATCATGTAGGAGGATGTACTTGTTTGTAGGAAACATACAAACTATTCAAGGCAAATGAGGCTTCAGGTTGGCAGGTTTCTCCAAATGGTTTAAGATAAAATTTGATTACATTTGCAGCTTTTCTATAAATCTGTGGTTGTTTCAAACTTTAAAAGTTATTACATAAAATTACTTTTTACTTTTTTAAAAAAGTAGTTTAATCCACTTAGAATTTATTTATGTGTATGGTGTGATACAGAATTAAAAAAAATATGTTTCCATGTAAATAATCAGTTGTTAATGCTTAATACAAATTTCAAAAGTGAAATTTAGGGAGAAAGATATACTAGGTGGATGGAAGAGAATGATTAAAGACAGAGAGGAAAATGAGAGTCAGATTTTAGGGGTTTGGCGTGGCTAGATCGTAGCTCATATGTGGACTGACGTGGGGTCAAGCTGGAGGGTAGGTTGGGGCCAAATCATACAAGTCCTTTAGTGCCAAGGTGAGGGTTTTGCATTTGGTTGTATAGGTTATGGGAACCATTGAAAACTTGAGTAAGTGAATCATCCTTTTGGGAAGCCTACCTATTCCCTCCTACTTCCAGCTAGTCAGGGTTGAGTGTGCTTTCTTTGAGCTCTTATCATTCATGAATTGATATTCTCTAGATCTCTCTCTCTCCTTCTCTTTCCCTCTCCCTACGGCATTGCCCTGATGGATTTCTGGGACAACTTCCCGACCAGAGTGGTGCTGGGACCTTTTTCTCGCATCCTGGTGATTAGCACAGTGCCTGGCTCCTAGTAGGTGTGCCATAGTGGTTCCTGAACAAATTTCAAGAGCTGAATTTTAAGAAGCAGAGTGTAGTATCCATGGATGTGGGAGAGGACAGCCCGGCCCACTTGGGAGCTGGAACATCAGCCAGGCAGGAGGTAATAAGGTCCCATATCAGAGAAAGGGCAGTGATAGTAGCAAGGCAAGAGGGACAGTTGGGAAGACCCTTGTGGTGTTGGAAGCAGTAACTTGGCAAATGATAGAATGTGGGGGGTGGGGGAGGGGTGAAGGAGGAGGAAGAGGAGATTCTGAGGTTTTAAACCTCTAGGATAGGGAGAAGAGTCATGCCTGTAACCAGAGCAGGAAAATTAATCAGTTCAGAATCTCAGAGAGGGAGGATAGAGGACAATATAAATAGCAAAAAGTGTAAAGTTACCTTATAATTGCTTGTCATTCTGTAGTTCTCAAAGCTCATCATCTCTATAGTGATAAATACCACTGAACACTCCAAAACAGAGAGCTCCTCTCCAAAGCAAGGACTAAGTAAGTGCAGATTTCCTGATTCTTCCCTGACATTTTTGCCCAGGAGCCCAAATTTAAAAATTAATCAACCTACTGACTTTGCTATTTTGTTCCTATAGAACTTCTCAGTGAGTTGAGGGACGAGCATGGATGCTTGGAGCCCGGCCCTCAGATGCCTGGTTCGGGTGGGAGTTGATGCTGCGCCTACAAGACGTCTTGTCGCACAAACGAGGTGATGGGAGAGGCAGGTGCAAACCCAGGATCAGCCACACCCTTCGCAGGCTGGCTGCTGTCGGTTGTTGTTGCTAAGAATTATCCTGTACTCTGGGGCCTCAATCAAGATGAGAGATCTAGAATTATAGTTTCCGAGCATGAAAATCATTCCTATTCTCTGTCCTTGGATTTACCTTTGAACATCTGCTGTCCCAGCTAAACTGGAGTTACTCGAAGTCCTTACTGTAAAACAGATGAAAGGGAACAAGTGGTATTCGGGTTCCCTAAAAGGCACCTGAGCTGTTTCTGATGTCCCTCGACACTAACCTGTTTACTTACTAGCACAGGGGTGGGCACAGTGCGGCCCGTGGGCCAGGCCCGGCCTTGCCCATTCCTTTGTATACTGTCTGCGGCTGCTTCCGTGCCACGACAGCAAGTTGAGTAGCTGCGACCAAGACTGTATGACCTGCAAAGTCGAAAATATTCACTATATTGCCCTTTCCAGAAAAAATTTGCCGCCCCCTGCCTTAGAATGTTAGCACCACGAGGACAGAGGCCGTACCTGGCTCATTGCTGCTTTCCCGGAATATGGTGCGTGAGTGCTTTGTGCCCTCTTCCGCCCTCGTTTCCTCTCTCCCCTCCCCTCTCCCTTCCTCCTTTGCTTTTCTAGTAGCTGCAAGAGGAATGACTTGGAGGTCAGCATCAGTCAAGACCAAAGACGCTGCGAGCCCTGGTGGAAACGAGAACAGACGCTGCGCTGCAGGCCTGGAATGCCGTCTGACCAGGTGCGGTCCACGCAGTTGCTCCTGCAACTCACTGTGACTCAGGACTGTGGGATCTGGCTACAGTAAGCTGTGGTCTCTTCTGACATTTACTAAAGTATAAAACCAAGAGGAAGGCTCTAGCGTGGGCACATCTGAGCCTTCACATCAGGTGCCTGCTCAGAAAGCTGAGTGTGTGTCATGGTGAGCTGGGGGAGAGAGTGCCTTCGAGTACCTTCCTCATACCATTTGTGTCTCAATACTTCAAGTTATAAACTAAGCTAACAAACTGCTAAACAATGACCTAGGTTCAAACGTCAGCTTCTTGGTTCCTTAGAGTCCCACACTGGCCTGCGGTGGTGCAGAGCCCAGGGCCTGTGGCTTGGCCCCGTGTCCTCTTTCTCCTGTTCTCCCTGGGGCCTCATGTACTGTGGGTGGACACTAGCCTGCACAATCCAGGCCACCCTTGACCCAGGAAAGAGGCCAACTCAGGCCCTAGGAGCAGGCTTTAGGCCATTTGGACAGGGAATTCCAGCGTTCTGGGTCCAGTGGGCATGTCCCCTGGCACCTGTGGACTCTTTATCCTGTGAGAACAAAGCCACGGGAGGAGGACTAGAGTGGGGTCTGCAGGGCAAGCTGGATGGGCTACCAAGCCATTTAATTTTTCTGAGACTTGGTTTCTCTCTCCATTAAAACAATGCAAACAAAACAATTACGCAAGGGCTTAATTTTTAACACTGAGGTATTTGCTAGATCTACGAGCCCGTGGTTTTATGAATCTGAAACTTCTAGAATGTATCCTTTCCCAACTTGACCATCACCTTGGACAAGATGTGGCAGCTGTTCTCCGCTGTAAATATCATAAGTTATGATTTGTTAATCTCGAGAGACCTGCTCAGGCATTGAATCTTCACTTTGAGGAAACCAAGCCCCAGCTGGCCTAGCCCAGTGGGCTTAGTCCTTCTGGTGCCTGAAACAGCTGTCCCACAAGGGTGATGCTGCCGAATTTCTAGGGGAAAAGCTCCCGTTCTCCGTGAGCCCCGCGGGCCTGCTGGTGCAGAACCTCCTCCTCCCCGGCATGGTGCAGGTGCGCAGGCTGTCAGCGCTGCTGACGGGTGGTCTGCCCTTTCCGTTCCCGTCTTCAGAAGAACTATAGTGGCAGGCACAAATGAGGCTTTCTGTGGGCTTTTTACTCACAGCGAAAGAGATTTCTCTTTTGCTCCTAGCTATTCCAAAATCTTGAGCTCCCCAAAGAAGAAGTGGAAGCTTAGAAAATCTGGCAGCCAGTCATATGCCTGGAACATGTCCTGAGTGGTCATGTTTTCTGAAGCGACTCTCTCCACTTCCTCCTCCTCTTCTTCATAAATCTCCCTTCGTAAACCAGACTTGGGGATCTTTCAACAGATTAACACGTTCTCAGGAGATGTGGGCCGACCTTCCAACTTGAACGCTCCTCAAACCCAAGCAAGCGGTGGTTGCGCCTCCCCCTCCTTGACTTTCCTCCTGCTCGCTTTGGGGCTGGTATTTTTTAAAGCATCCCTCTCACTCCACCTGCCCTCTCCTGCTTTCTGCAGGCACCAATTTCTTGGACCTATTTCTTTTCTGTGTATTTTTTGCTGGGTTTTTATAGTTTGTTGGGTTTTGGTTCAGCATGTATTTGTTGAGCATTTTCCGTGTGCCAGGAGTTGGAAAAAGCAGGACAAAAAAGACACAGAGCCTGCCCTTGGAGAGCTCAGGTGTGGTGGAGACAGAAGGGAAATGGACCTTCCCGTGAAGGGGAGGGCGCAGATCTTTCCTGTACCCGATTCTGCCCAGTCCAAGTTGCCTTTCTGAAACCCTCAACGCCCACCACGAATGACGGCTAACCCCCCCTCCTTGCTTAGTCTTCTTTCCTGCAATATTGTAGTTGCTAATTTAAATTACAAAACCAACCAGGATGCAGCAGCGTGATATAAGCAGTGTCCTGGGCTTTCTCAATCTCTATTCTGGCCCTAGTTAAAATGGTTTTTTAGTTTTGGTCATTGACAGATTTTTAAAAAGTCAAAACCAGATTAAGCTGTGGGGCTCCCAAAGTAGTTTTGTAATCTCTACTGGCAGTTGTTGCCCAGCACCTGTGGGGTGCAAAGCAGCGGGCCATTGGCTGTGCAGGACTTAATATTGTGCGGCCTCTGCCTACCATCTGCTGCTGGAGAAGCGCAGGACCCTCTTTGCTAAGGTAAAATTTCACCATTTTGTGCTTTCTTCCACGCGCCCTTCTCAGTAGCAGTTAGGGCCTCGGCCTCTCTCTCCTCTCCTTCCTTCCTCTGTCACCCTGTGGGGTATAGCCACAGTAGAAGGTGGGTTGGACAGCACTGTTGTAGAAAGTGTTTGCACTCTAAAGCCCATCCGTAGGTCACGGAGGGGAAACTGGCTTGGCAAGGAAGCCCCATTGTTCTCCTTATCCACAAGTCTTTCGAAACGTTTGGTTTAAAACTATTTTCTGTAACATGTTCACCCTTCTCAAAACAAGGAGAAACCACCACGCTCCTTTGCTAAATCTTAAGCCAAACTGCAACATCTCCACTGAACTGTAACCGTTAATAGGGAGGAAATCACGTGACGGGGTGTAGCCATCTTTGTGCTGGGCTTCAAACTAAGCTGTGAGCTAAGGTGCTTTAGTAGGTAAAATAATTCATACAGGTGGCAAATGTTAATTATAGAGCCCATCTCATTAGGATAGACCTTTGACCCATTAGCAAATTAACAGTGCATTGGATAGGAGTTCTGTTATAATCTAGGCCCATAAAGATTTAAAAGAAAGAAACGTGTTGTAATCTTCTTGGTTTCATCATTTTTTTACATAATAAAATAAGTTCTAGAGTCTACTGAGAAATACCTCTAATTATTGCCTCAGCCATCTTAGGGAAATACGATAATGGCTTCCAATCCTAGCTTTTTCTTAAAGTGTTAGCTTCTAAATTGTCCTTTTTTTCTGACAATATAATTCAGTTTTCTTAATTTCCTTCTGATAGGGAAGTGAAATAACTTGTCTCAGAGACTCTCTTAGATTGAGGATTAATGATTACAACTGAACATTCCTGAAGTCTTAATAGGATTTGTTTAAGCAGGAGTAACTGGGGTTGCCAGAATTAATAAGGAAAAATACAGGATGCCAAGTAAAATTTGAATTTTAGGTAAAAAAACAAATACATTTTGTTGTTTATACTATATGTTAAATATACACATTTTGTGTATATTCCATGCAGTATTTGGAACATACTTATATTTGAGATATAATTATGCTAAAATATTTATCAGAAATTCAAATTTAACTGGGATCCTGAATTTTATTTGACAACCCTAGAAACACGTTCAATTCAAAATGCTTCTTGGTGAACAAATAGTGGGAAAAAAGTTTAGTGAGTGTGTTGTGCCTCATCTTGGAAGATAAAAGTTCTTAAAAGTGTTGGAACAGACCTCAATACCTTTAGGCCTCTGTTCTCTAATTCGAGAAATGGAGGATGTGAAATCTAAATGTTGCATGGGCCTGCAACGAGAAATTTTAAAAGTAACGATAGTCCAGTTATAAGATAAATGGCAATATCCTTGATTTTTTAAAATTCCTGCTTAGGTATGAATCGTACTGATTGATGTAATTACTTTATAAGCAAATTAGATGAACAAAAACTGGTTGTGTCAGTTCCAGTCTTGGACCTCATCATGAACTGTCAGGTGTAGTTTAGCAACTAATAATGAGAAGGCATTTTCTCTTCAGCTTTGGTGTGTTTTCTCTACCAAATAAATCAATTTAAAACTCATGTTGACACCGCTCCGCCCCTGCACCCTCACCCCCATCATTTCAATGTGAAAAAAGGAGAGGGATTCAAACCAACTTCATCCAATTGCCTTTCCGACATACAGACTCCTTAAGTGTTGCCTCAGACTATGTCTGACCTAAAAACAAACAAACAAACAAAACCTTTTTCTGAATGTTGGTGAGCTTCTGTATAAACAATTAAATGTCCTGTGAGCCACTCCCTTCTAACACCACTGCAGAGACGTACACATCACCTTTGTGGCAGTGGCAGAGCACTGTGTGAATGAGGCCTTAACTTCTTACAATGGTCACAAAGACACGTTGGGTCTCACATTCAATTAAGGACCAATGCTCACCTGCCCATGCCTCTTCGTCCCCTCTCCTAACTACACCCGTGAGGTAAGCACTCAAATAATCTGGGCAAACAGACATGAAATGTAGATTCAATAATACCCAACTGACAACGGATGATGTTTACACGCATTACCGGTTGGGTGTTTTCTTCAAACCCTATAAAGACTTGACATGGAACATTAAGACTAGTCCACACCAGCGTTGCAGAATTCTGCCATGCATGACTCGCGCTCCTGTGGCGGTGACTCTCACGGCAGTGCGTGGCAAGGACAAGGAGCTACGCAGTTCCCCACAGAATGTCTGAAACTATACTAGGTGGTGCACACCAGGGAGATCAGTGAATTAGGATAATTTGAGATGAATTTGTTTGCATTTTATTTCTCCTTGAAAATCACACACACACACACACACACACACACACAGAGAGAGAGAGAGAGAGAGAGAGAGAGAGAGAGAGAGAGAGAGAGAGAAGCAGATCCACTTGAAACGAGAGTGATACTGAGGCCAAAGCTACTAGTGGGATGGCCTGGGATTTCTACTTCTGTGGTCTGAAGGAAAGGGTTTGTTATTTGGCTAGGTCAGTTTCACCACCAGGTGTTCCAGGTAAGCATGTCAGTTTTGGTTTCCTTCCCAAAGAGCCTCCTTGTAAGCTTGCTGTATGCTCCTCACGTTTGTTTTCTGCTGAGGTGGGGTCATTACGGAGGCCCCCGCGTTTGGATGACCATGCCAGCTGCAGGGAATGGGCCAGGTAGAAGGAGATCAGGCCTGCGGAAGGAGAGTAGATGGACTTCTGTCATCTTTGTTTTCTGAAAAGATGGTGTGACTATCAGATTTTAAAGGTTAAACAGTTGTCAATCAATCTCTGGAGGAAGCTCAGCCAAGGGTGCTGTGATTCTGTGAGATCACCAAGGATATGGGCCATCTTTGTTCCTTATCTGCAAAATGGTCAGACCAGATAATCTAAGATCCAGAGATTTGTTACAAAGACTCACACATGTAAGACAGTAGGCGTGTGCATACGTGCTTACATCTCAGAGAGAAGCTACACCTTACATCTCGGAGAGAAGCTCTTTCCTAAGGCAGCTATGGAGTCTTTTGGTTTGTTCTTTAGCCCAAGAAAGTTACCATGTCTTCAAAGCTAAGAAGTCCTGATACAAAGCAGCCCAGAGCTGCAGAATTCCCTTCCTAGAGGGGTGGCTCCTGATAAGCATGAAAATTTGGTGGGGAATGGAGGATGGGGAAAGATTCGAGCTGGAGTTCAGAATAGCAGGCTGCAGACCAAGGCTCGGGCACTGAGTCCATGCTCCTTGGGAAGAGGACGCCAAGGTGACGCTTTTCACTGGAGAGATGCTGAATTCAGTTAAAGTGTAGGAAAAATTCCTGGACTGATACCCAGCTGTTGGGGTGGGGGGTTTGGGCAAGAAGGGAGTTGGACAGAGGCCTGCCAGGTCTAGACAAAATGCGGTTTAACCAATTATCTGGTTTAAAAATCACACATCCTCTTAAGAAGATGACTAACACAGTACTTAGCGCTGAGAACATGCTCTGAGGTGGTGCAAGGGTCCCAATCACCGCATGGGGGTGGGGGGTACTTCTGAAACTAATTGATAAAGATACAAATTATATAGGGAATCTCTGTAACAATGTGTAAGAATAAGGATCAGAAATTAATCTGAGGGTTCCTGAATAACTGTGTGGAAAGTGTCACACAATTATTAACCCATTTAGGATGTTTCTAAGGTGACTAATCATCTATCACCTACTCATCTATCAAAACCTTGACCCTCATCTGTTTTCCTAAAACATACTACGAGATTGCATAAGACCTCGTGCCAAAAGATGTTTTCGAGGACTGAGCCCTTTGAAGAGTTTTAAAATGTTTTTGATAAGCAGACATACTGATCTCTAGATACCAAAATGTCTGTGTGGTCCTGGCTCACAACCTGCTGCTGTGAAACCATCAGCCTAATGAACTTCCTGAAGCTCAGCCCTCATGTTTGTTCAGGAGCAAGTTGTAAATGTTCTCTAGAACTCCTTGAGAGAAACTGCCTTTTTCTTATTTGTGGGATATTTTAAAGAAAATTATTTTGAAGTGGCATAATGTAAACAAGAATGTAATTACTATTTGTTTCATGACAGACTTATTTATACACTGCTACATGGAAGGATTTTTACAAACTTTTGTAAAGATAGTATGTCATAAAGTCAGAGTTAGGCCAGGTGTGGTGGCTCACGCCTGTAATCCTAGCATCTGGAGGCTGAGGCAGGAGGATCCCTTGAGCCCAGGAGTTTGAGGTTGCTGTGAGCTATGATGACACCACTGCACTCTAGCCAGGGTGACAGAGTGAGACTCTGTCACCGAAAAAAAAAAGTCAGAGTTAGGTTTTGAATCAAAAAATGTATTATAAAAACATACCAATTTAATAAATGTGTTGCAGTAGGTTTTCCAATATTTTTAAGCCAAAATCTGACAAATGTAATAGAAAATGATTATTACATCCAATAAGAGGGAAAAGTTTGGAATTATTAATAACTGTTGCAGACCATAGACCATCAGCACCCCTGATGTTCTGGCCTGGCCAGAGGTGATCTGGAATATGCCAGGTGGGGGTGGGGAGACCATTGATAGTCCTAGGAAACAATTTTGCTATCCAGTTATGTATTCTGACTTATAAAAGGGATTCATAACTGCAAGTGGCTTTCAAAGAATAATTTTCAACTTGTGTCAACAGCAACCACAAGATCTATAAATGAGAAATAGTGGCTAGAAAATCTCAGCAAAACTAACTATCTCTGGACAGGAGCCTTTACATTTCTGGACCCTCTGGTGGGTGGGTGAGGGAGAAGGGATACGAAGCAGTCAACCTTGCCAAATAGCCATCTCTCGGTCTCTAGTGGTCACAAGGAACTGGGAAAATCCATCACAAGCACTGCCTTGGAAAGGAGTGTTTCAATCATTAGCTGTACTTGTTTTCCTTGCAATCAAGAAACCAGTTGGGAGGAATGACAACTTTATGGGAAATAAGGTTTTGTGTATCTTTGCTTATGGAAAACATGTTTTGATTTGATTTTATATGCAGGTAAGTCAGGAGAGAGTGGCTGAGTTGATTTGGCCCTTTACAATCTCAGGCTTAAGCCAAGGCACCTCCTTGGCTGCTGGCACCTCCTCCAGGACTTTCTCTAGCTTGCGCACTCTCTCTCTCTCTCTCTCTCTCTCTCTCTCTCTCTCTCTGGGGTCAGCGTGCTCCTTACTGGGGGCACCATGCCAGGGTAGGGACCTGAAGCACCTGTCCCAAGAGTTACCACAGGCCAGGGTACAAAGCTTTTATTGCTTCTTCCTCCATCATCTTGACACTTTTATAAAGAATAAAGAGCCCCCTTCCTACGACAGACATTATTCATTGATCTACCCAAATGTGGCCATTTTCAAAGGAAATTCCCTTCCTTTGAAACTCAAATGTATGACCACACATAGAAGTCAAATATTCCAATAGCCAAAATGTTCTAATATTCTCTCCTACCTTCCCTGCTTATTTTCAAAACCTAAGGGTTTTTTTTTTGCTGTAAGCAAAAAACATTGGAAAGTTCTTTTCAAAAATGCTCTTCTATATCAGTGGTCTCCAACCTTTTTGGCACCAGGGACTGGTTTCATGGAAGACAATTTTTCTATGAACGGCGCGGGGGTGGGGTAGGGTGTGGGGTTGGTATAAAGAGCTCCGTGGCCCAGTCGGCGGCCTGGGGGTTGGGGACCGCAGTTCTATATCATCCAAATGGTTTCCTGATTATGACAGGAACCCACACATCTACTGACTGAAAAGTCCTTCAGCACAGGACATGGTGGGGACCCAGTGTGGGTGGCACTCTCTGCGGGAGGCAAGTCTGAACCTTGGGGCACCTCAGGCCCATGGCCCAAGTGGGCCCTGCGGCGAGGACCTGCCTCAAGCAGTGGACTGTGAAAGCAGCAGGGGTACCTTGGGTTGCTGGCTGGCTCCCGCAGCTCGAGGGTGCAAAGGGACATCATAAATTTCAGTCTGCTGTTTAGCAAAGTTCACAAATACCTGAAGTGAGAGAAGAAGAAGAGTAGGTAGATGTTTCCAGAAAAATGGCACCTACACCCAGCTACCCACTTTGCTCTTTATTTTCCACAGTTAACATACAGTCCTGTTGGTGTGGCCTGTGTCCTCCCCAGAAGGGCTGGCCCACCCACAAAGGCCCGGCCATTAGTGCTCTGGACAGGGCTAGCTTCTTAGACTTCCAAGGTAAGCCCAGAGTCACCGCTGGAGGACTCAAAGGATTTGGGCGCCTGACATTGGGGTAACCAAGGCAAGGTAGATTCTCCACCAGCAGTGTCCTTCTAATCCTCTAAAGAAGACACTAAAAACAAAGGTAGTTGATCTCTTTTCAGTCCGTCACTGGGTGTGCTTACGGCTGACAAGAAGGTGCGGGTGAGCCGCTCCTCAAGGGCAAACTGGGACTCGCCTGTTTCCACTGCTTTACCGGCTGTCTTTAACAATGCTTATTTAAAACAAATAAAAAACAAACAAAAATAAAACCAAAAAAACTAGAAACAACCAAATGTCCATGAACGAATGAATGGATGGATAAGCAAAATGTGGCATATCCATTCAGTGGAATATTATTCAGCCTTAAAAAGGAAGTGAGCTCTGACACCTGTTATATCTTGGATGGCCCCTTGAGGACAGTCACAAAAGGACAAACACTGTATGATTCCACTTACGTGAGGTACCTAGAGTAGTCAGAGTCATAGAGACAGAAAACAGAGCAGTGGCTGCCAGGGGCGGGGTGGGGAGGGTGCACGGGAGTTATTGTGTAACGGGCAGAGAGTTTCAGTGAAGCAAGACGAGAAGAGTTCTGTGGGGGGATGGTGGTGATAGCTCAACAGTGTGAATGTACTTAGTGCCATTGACCTGTATACTTAAAAATGGTTGAAGTGGTCAATCAATTTTATCTTATCTATGTTTTACAATAAAAATGTGATTAAATTTTCAAAAAACCACATAAGCTTATCAAAACTCACAGAACTGTACACTTAAAATAGATGTGTTTTACCGTATGTAAATTACACATCAATAAAGTTGATTTGAAAAGAAAAAGAGAAGCCACCACCACAAACCAGCAAGAAGGAAGTAACATTTCATAGCCTAATGGAGAAGGATGATATAAAAAAAAATCAATGAAGTTTGCAGATGACTAAAATATTGTTAGAAAACAATTTCTGATGTGCCAAGTTTTGCCCTAATGGACAGAAGGCAAGAATGTTTTGAAAACTGGGAAGGTCGTGCCTCCCTCCTGTGGCAGTTCCACCCCGGCCTTTGCTTAGCCCCACTGTGCGCCTGGGCCCTGGGGCGGACTTGCCTGGTCCAGCGTGGTCTGTGTGACCGAATACTCCTCGATGAGCAGGCTGTCCTTGTGGGAGATGAGCAGCTGGAAGATCCTGGCCAGGGAGGAGGAGGAGACCTGGAACTGGAGCATGTTGTAGTGCCTCTCCCGCTGCACGCTGCCCGGGAAGTTCCCCTGGAAGAACTGCTCCACGGGGTTCAGATCTGGAAGCAAGTCATCCTTTGGGGATTTGATTTTCATTGTGACGACGTAGCCATCTCCAAACCTAAGGGAGGCACACAGAGTGTACAGGCCTCTGCTCACAGCTGGGTCTAAGGCAATCCCAAAATAAGGAGTAGACTCATCAGAAAATAGCGGGGATTAAAGGCCCATACCATTGACCTGGTATGCATATTTAAAACTAGGAGAAAAAAACACTAGTCCTTGGAGAAATCCTTTGATACAAGCTTTTAGATGTTAAAATATCTGTGCAGTGAAGTAGGACAGATGTACCTGCTGAAGTCAAAGGAGGCTGGAGCCAGTGTGGGCATCCCGGTCCCGCCCATAAAGACATGTGGGCTGACTGGCCCTTCATGAGCCTGGCCAGGTGGGAGCAAAGGCTGGGGAAGGCAGAACCTCCCTGAGGGAGCTTCCAGAAGCAAATGGAGTGGCCTGGGCCAGGGCCATTGGTGCTTCCCTCCTGCCCTCACCAGGTCTTCTGGTCACCCTTTCGTGGATGAAGGGTGGCCCACCAGAGAGTGCACGGCCAGCTGGCATCTGTACACAGTGACATCAGGGTATCCCATGTCGGTCATAACTACTTCAAAGCTCCCTCCATCGTCTAGGGCTGTTCTCTACAGCAAGATGCCTTTTGCCTTTCAGCTCCAGAAAACTCCCACACGGGGAGCACTCTGCTCTCACCACTTCTAACAGGGAGACGTTGAGCAGGTAGAGGGAAAGGAATAGGGGAACATCCATTTCTCCAGACACTGGAAGTTGCTGACACAAACAATTTCTCCAGGGACTAGCGTTGTTTGTTAAATAAATGAGTAATTACCAATATTTAATATCAATATGCTCTTTCCTAGGTTATAAAACATATCAGAATGCAAGGGAGCATGGCAGTATTATGATAATCTTATTTTAACTGTTATCTTTAGAACACACGCTATTAATAAGGAGTTATTTACAACCGTTTATGATTTATGGATACAAGATAATCCTACTCAAGATTACTGGCATTGTTGGTTTGTTGTATAAATGTGGTCATTTTTCAAACCCAAACGCATACAATACTCTAAAAAGGAAAGCTGGTTCTCAAACTGCTTGGTCTCCTAATCATTCCTATATTGGTCGTGGACTCGTAGTAAATAGGCCATGGGTCCTGGACCTGTGGGGATAAGAGGTGAGCTACAGAGGCAGTGGCAGGGGCCCTCCCTCATCCCAGCCAGGCTCTGCATCTGCCCCTACCAGAACTCCCCATCCAGAGCCTCCAACCACAGGCAGCTAGGCCAACACAGAGGAGCTTCTTATCAGCACAACGGCCTTCCCCATCTGCTGCTAGAGAACGAGGCCCAGGCACCACCTGCCCCTACCAGGGTGGTGACGGGGCAGCAGGACCCCCAAGTGTCAGTAGAGACACCCCTGTGGGCCCCCATGGAAAGTGACAAAGGGCACGCCCCCACCACCTGCTTACTTGTACTTGAGGTGCTGAATGGTGCCCATACATCGGAAGGCGCCCCTCACCATGATGGCCAGCCGGGTACACAGTGCCTCACACTCCTCCATGCTGTGGGGCAGGACACAGGAGGTGAGGTGGGGAGGACGCCCACCCCCCTCCTTCCCCGGGCCCTGGGAATCTCCTGCCTGTGGGATGTGAGGACCACGGCTCTCCCTTCTCTGATGATGCTCACGATGACGTTCCAGAGCATGCGGCGCGCCTGGGGGTCCATCCCTGTGGTGGGCTCATCCTGTGGGGCGGAGAGAGGGCAGAGAGTGGGCTTGGCGCCGGCCTCTCCTGGTTACTGCTTCCCCGCTGGGCTGCTGGCTTGCAGCTGACAGGCGGCGCACACAGACACTCCCCAGCCCGGCAAGCCAGGAGGTGCCCTGGTGTGGGGCACAGGGGCAGGAGGCGAGCCCAAGAGTAAAGAAACAGCATGTACACCCCTAGACCTGTTTCAGCCCGTGAGTGGATTAAGGTTGATTAAGGCAATGGTAGAATTAGTCTTAAAAAAAGAAAAAAGCTGCGAATGTTTGTAAGGAGGCAGGGAGATAGCTCGGATAACGTCTCTGGTTCCAGCCACATCCTGTGCACTGTGCCCCATAATCCTCAGACTGCGTGGCCATGGGCCTCAGGCTGGGTCTGGCTCAGGTGACAATCACATGAGCCTCTGATCCAGGTCAGTGCTCCTGTCTCCTTCACATCCCACATGGGCCTCAGGCAGCAGTAATTTCTGACCAGACACCGGCATTCCGCAGAGTTTTGCGCCTGTAGCCCCGCAACAGACTTCCCAGGAACTCATAGTGAGACTATGCTGTGACTCGTTTCCCCCAAGACTTGGGGACTAAACACTGGGACGATTTGCTCAAAATGAGCAATACAGGAAGTAGTCCAACCAAGAACAAACTGCTGCATTTGCTAAATCTGCTGACCTGGAACATATCCCCCAACCCAAGGGTTTAACCCCAGCCCTTGGTTCAAACTCCGGTGGCGGCTTGTGCCCGCAGTTACCAGCAGCACCAGCGGCGGGCAGCCGATGAGCGCCATGGCCGTGGAGAGTTTCCGCTTATTGCCCCCACTGTATGTGCCAGCCAGGCAGTCTGCGTAGAGAGATAGGCCCAGGCTCTTAATACTCCAGTTTGCAACCTAGGGAAGAGAAAGAAAGCCCATTTGGAGAAGACAAACAAGCAAAGACCCCAAACCTCCACCAATTTCAAGCCTTGGGTTCCCAGATCTCACACTTCCAGATCTCACACGGACCCAGCTGGGCTGAAACAGGGCCACCTGGTGGCTCCTGTCCTCTAGCACATGCTTCAGGGGCCAGATGGGAGTCTCCTTCCACTTCGTGCCTTGGACCCCAGTGTGGCTTGGTCAGCTCAGCACCCACTGGGTGCAGCCCTCTGGGAAATGGCCTTAAGCTTTACAAAGAGCAAGACAGCATGTCTCACTCGGTGTTCTGGACCGTGGCCAGGTGTGGAAGAGGAAGGGTCTGTTTGAGAAGATGGCAGGTCCCAGACTGTTGATTCCAACCCTCGACAGGATCGCACCTGAAGTCTTGTGCATCTAATACATACTTAATGAGCACTTACCATGGACTAGGCACTGGAGAACAATGGTGAACACAGCCTTTGCGGCTGTACTCACAGGCTGGGGCGGGGAGGGGAAGGACAATCAAAATAAACAGAATAATGACAGATTGTAACAGTGCTTTGGGGAAACTCAACAGAGAACTGTGATAGAGAGTAACGGGGTGTGTGTGCACATGCACGCACAGGAGAACTGGGAAGTCACTGGAGACAAGCCCACCATCCTTCTGTGTTCTGTACTTGTTACACCCTCTGCGTGGAATGTCCCTTCCCCAGATAGCCACAAGGCTCGCTCTCTCACCTCTCGGTCTTCACTCGGAAGTCACCTCCTCTGTGAGGCTTTCCCTGGGCCACCCTACCTAAAAGTGCAAACGCCACCACAACGATTCTTCCCTGCTTTGTTTCTCCCCAAAGGACTTTTCACTCCCTAATGTACTGGATATTTTACTTCCTTATCTATATATTGTCTGTCCCTCCTACTAGAATGTAAGCTCCATTTTAGACTTTTTATTTGAAAATAGTTTCAAACTTACAAAAACAGAAGAATAAGAACAGTACAGAGAACACTCATAAACCCTTCTCTGTCCCTCTCTCTCTCACACACGAACACGAGCACACATACACAATTTTTTTCTGACGCATGTGAGGTTATGTTATACACCACGGCCCCTCACTCCTAAACTCATCAGTGCACATTTCCTAAGAATAGGGATATTCTCTTACATAGGCACAGTACAGTTATCAATATCAATAAATCTAACATTGTTATGAAACTTTAATCTGTCATTCATAGTTCCGTTTTGTCGATTGGCCCAACAATATCCTTCGTATCATTTTTTCCTCTTCTGCACAAGATGCAGTCTAGTGTGTATTGCTCAGTCATTATGTCTATGTAGCCTCCCGTGATCAGGAATATTTCCACAGCTCTTTCTCTATCTTTTATGACTTTGATATTTTTGAAAAATACAGTCTCTCCTTTTTTTTTTTAAATGGAATATTCCTCCTTTGGAGCTTGTCTGATGTTTCCCCATGATAAGATTCAGGTTACACATTTCCAGTCAGGACGCTACATACGTGAAATTGTGTCCTTCTTAGGTATCATCTGGGAGCATGAGACGTCCATCTGCCCCTTACAGGCGACATTAATTGTGATCACCCAGTTAAAGTGTTGTCTAATTTCTCCATCGTAAAATTGTGTTTCCCCCTTGCGACCAATACGTCATCTGTGCAGAGATACTTTTAAACCATACAAATATCTTGCTTCTCATAAAAAATTTCCCCAAGATTTAGCATCCATTGATGATTCTTGTGCAATCCAATCTTTACTATGCTCATTGAGAAATGATTTTCTAACTTCCAAACTTCTCCACACTGAACAGTTGACTTTCAGCATTTGACTGTAAGCAAGTAACTTCCCTTCTCTTCTATTAATATTTATTTATCTATTTAACAGTATGGACTTACAAATTCTTACTTTACCTCCAGTGTTTTATAACATTATGGTATTTAGTTATTTTGATGCTCAAATTGTCCTATATTTGAATATTGGGAGCCCCTTCAAGATGACTTCTATGTTCTTATGACACATCTTCGTTTTTTTTTTTTTGAAAGCACTTCCTTACTTTCTGGCATAAGATAGTCTAGGTTCATTTTATTTGTGTGCTGTTCCAGCCCTGAAATCTGTCATTTATTTGAGGAAACATGGTTTCTTTCAGTGGGAAATAGTATTAAGACCAAAATCTGGGTGCTAAGTGTACTCATTGCTACTCAGGTATTTTTGCTTCTTGGCCTTCAGAGGACAGATATACACACACACACAGATATGCACACACATGTACGTGCATATGTGCCTTATTCATGAGCACATCCGCATGTACACGCAAACACAAGTTTGTAAATATTTCATGAATTTACTGCAATATCTCTAATTCCAATCCACTCCCCCAGGGTTCTTGATTGCTTTTCCCCTTTCTGTATTTGTATTCCTTCTTCCCCAGTGAGAACTCTGGCTCCTGATAACATCAACACATTTATTCATTTACATAATCCTATAACACATCTAAAATTGTTCAGAATTGCTTTGCCCATACCACTATAAAAACAAATAAACTAAAGAGAGCTCAGACATTATTTGTAGTTCTTTCCCCTAACTCCACTCTGCCCAAGACTGAGGATATGTAGTTAAACATAGTGTTCACCAGTTATTTGTATTAGTTCTTCCCCTCCTTTTGTATGAGTAAGATATTTGTTTGAAATAACATTTGGTTAACTTGTTTCAGGTTGCTTTCAGTGCTAAGTTTTCTTTTTGTTTTCATTTTTGCCCCTTCCCATTCTTATTGCTTTTGTTTTTATTTTTTGAATATGTGGAACATTAACATGCTTCCAAAAGCCAAAATTATGCAAAAGATATCCTCAGAAGTGTTATTCCCCATTTTCCTTTCACCAAATTCCCTCTTACTGACCACCAAATGCAGTTTTCTGATTTTTCCTTCCTGCGTTCTATTTGCAAAGGTAAGCAGACATACATTTGCTTTCTTATTTTTTCTACTTGCTTACATAAAAAGCTGCATGCTGTACGTTCTCTTTTGAACTTTTCTTTTTCATTTAAAAGTATTTATAGGAAAAAACTCCATATCAGTTCACAGAGATCTTCCTCTTTTTTTTACAGCTGCATATATCTTTATTGTGTGCATGTATTATAAATTATTCAACCAATCTATGATGGCTGAACATGTAGATCGTTTCTAGTATTTTGTAATTATTAAATACAAATGCAATGGATAACTTTGTGCATACGCATTTTGTACTGTGGGAGGTGTATCTTCAAAGTAAATTCCTAGAAGTATGATTGCTGGGTCTAAAGGTAAATGTACACATCATTTTGTTAGCTATGAGGGCATTCTTTTGTCTGTTTTGTTCATTGTTAAACCCCTAGTTTGTTGGGATGAATGAAGGGATAGCATGCTTCAGTTCCCTTTCTCTAAGTGAATGCACTCTCATGAAACATGCTTATGATTTATCAAACTCCTACGCAGTCACAACAAACTATTTTTTACCCTCTCGATTTCTTCTGCTGGTACGCCTCGAAGCCGGGCATATAGATAAAGATGTTCTCGCCCCGTGAGCAGGTCATCGATTGCATCAAACTGAGGACAGTAGCCCATACTTTGATGGACCTCAGAAATGTTGGTTAAAATACTGCAAGAAGAAAAAGCAATTAGTGAATTTCCTTCATAAAGGGAGTAACCAGAGATCTGGGGCTAGAGAAGCTTCTGCCAGTGGGATAAGGAAGCTGCCTCTTCTATCTTCCTACTTTGCTTCTGAAATGTACACAACATTTGTGAATCAAAGGAGGAGCCCTTTGGTTAGAAAATGAAGAACCTCAGGAATTCTGAGCTTTAAATCTAGTCAGATCCATCCAAGTATCTACATCTAAGATTCACTGAATACTTGTTACCCAAAAGTGAGCTTTGGTTTTGAATTGGATCACCTCACGTGTGAGTTTAAAAACAAAAGAAGGAAGATCAAATTTAAGAAAACGATTAATAGTTTTTAATTCTTTTCAGGTATTTGGGAAATAGCTAGAAAAGATGGATGCATCCCAATGGAAATAAACTTCTCCACATGTATTTATTGGCAAAAATATAGTCAATGAAAGAGGAACCATGCCCGGTGGCATGGCTCATGCCTGTATTCCCATAATTTTAGGAGGCAGAGGTGAGAGGATCACTTGAGGCCAGGAGTTCAAGACCAGCCCGGGCAACATAGCAAGATCCCCATCTCTACAAAAACTAAGAAAAATTTTGTTGGGCATGGTGGTGCATGCCTGTAGTCTCAGATACTTGGGAGGCTGAGGAAGGAGGATTGCTTGAGCTGAAGAATTTGAGGCTGTAGTGAGCTATGATAGTGCCACTGCACTTCAGCCTGGCAGAAAAATAAAAAAAGGAACCAATCAGATAACTGCTCAGAGCAAGAGGCCAGCAGGGAGCCGAGATAAAGTAAATTGGGTTTTATCAACTCCCTTTGACTAATGTATTCTCCCCCACTAGAAAATATACTGCCTTAATGAAAAAATAAACTGTACACAGACATCTCATCCTCCTCCTCTTATAGCTTAGGGTCTACGAATAAAGGACGGATGTGAGATAGGGTCCAAGGTGGTGGACTAGAAGCAGCCTGCATATGCTGCTCTCAAGGAGAGGACTGAAAGTGGCCAGCAGATGTTCATTCACCTTCAGATCGACCATCACAGAGAGCCTTGAGAATCAACAGATGGGTGACGGGAGTCACCAAAGCAAGGGAGAGGGAAGTGGGGTGACCTGCTTGGCAGGATCAGAGGTACCTGGGGAAGGCACTTGCACGTGGGGAAGAGACAGAGGAGAGAACCCTAGGGGCTCTATATTTCCCCTGTGGACATTGCAGTCGTAGCAATGGGAGGGACCCTCCACTACAACAGGCTTCCAGACTGATAATGTGGGCTGACTGGAGATTGTGCAGTGGCATTGCTCCAGAGAGAAGGCATTGTGGGGTCCCGATAGCTTCCGAACCCTGAGCATTACAGCTGGTGCCATTCTGAGGTCCCAGCCCCAGAGTGCTGCATCTACTTGGGGGTCAGATCCATTGCTGCCACCTCCTCATCATCCTTGTTGGGTTGCGGAGGGAGCGCAGAAGCCGTGTACTCTCACATGCCCTGTGGACAGGTACTACGCGCCCCAGCCACCACTGGGGGACCCAGGCAGAGCAAGCACCCACAGACAGTGCCCACTGCTGCTGCCTAGGTAGCCCCACTCAGCCACAGCTGCCATGGGACCCAGGTGGAGCATGTGCCCACAGCCCCTAGAGCTGTTCCATCTGGGTAGTGCAGGCACTGCCAGCACCTGGGTAGTGCCACCACTGATGGACCTGGGAGTAGTGAACACCCATGCTGCCATGTGCCTGATGCACACCGCCTGCCTGCGACATGCTATCTGCCCACTGTGCATCCTTATGCACCCCCTGCCTGCTGGCCTGGGCAGAGTGATTGCCCACAGCCCTAGTACTTACGGCCATTTCCTATGTAGCCCCACCTAGCCACCACTGCTGCTGCCGGCGACCCAGGCAGAACACACCCCCCAGGCCACCTGCCTCCACGGAGAGGGGCCCGCCCTGCCCCAACCCGAGCTTTCAGCAGCAGCCTGGGGACCAGCCACCCCTCCACACAAATATCCCCCAGCACCTGCTCAGACTGTGACAACCACAGGGGGATGGGGAGATTCAGGAGAGCATCAGTGTTACAGGCTCACAGTGCATCTGCCCATCTCCTGCCTGGTCAATCTTCTGGAATAAGACTGAAGCATGCCATCCAGGGACTTCTCCCTCTCTTCACTGAGCAACAGAGTTCCCAGCACAGAATAATGGGTGTACTGCAAAACTGTATGTTTTGAGCTGAGAAAAGAGGTTCCAGATGAGAAAGAACCAGCATAAGAACTCTGGCAACATGAAAAAACAGGTTGTTTTGACATCCCCAAAGGATCGGACTAGCTCTCCAGCAATGGGCTCTGACCAAAACAAAATTGTTGAAATGACAGATATGGAATTCAGAGTATGGATCACAAGTAAGATCGATAGGATTGATGAGAAAGTTGAAAACCAAAACAAGGAAACCAAAAAAATAATTCAAAACGTGAATGAAAAATTCACAAAAGAGATAGATAATCTAAAAAAAATATAAGTGAACTTCTGGAAATGAAAGAGTTATTTAGGGAATTTCAAAATACAGTGGAAAGTTTTTTTTTCTTTTTCTTTTTTTAAATTTCTGCATATTATGGGGGTACAAATGTTTAGGTTATGTTTCCCTTGCCTCCCAGCCCCCAGTCAGAGCTTCAAGCGTGTCCATCCCCCAGACAGTGTGCATCACACTCATTATATATGTATATACCCATCCCCTCCTTCCCCCTCCTATCTGCCTGACACTCGATAAATGTTATTCCTATATGTGCACTTAGTTGTTGATCAGTGAAACCAATTTGCTAGTGAGTACATGTGGTGCTTATTTTTACATTCTTGGGATACTTCATACTGTGGAAAGTTTTAACAACAGACTAGACCAAACAGAAGAAAGAATTTCAGAGCTTGAAGACAAGCTTTTGAATTAACCCAGTTGGTCAAAAATCTAAGAAAAAGAATCAAGAATGAAAAATCTCTCTGGAAATATGGGATTATGTACAGTGAACAAATGTAAGAGGGAGAAGAAAACGCAAAAAGCATGGAAAACCTACTTGAGGGAATAATAGAGGAAAACTTCCCCGGTATTGCTAGAGATTTAGACATCCAGATACAACATGGAACACCTGGAAGATTCAAGGCAAATAGGACATCACCAAGGTACATAGTTATCAATCTGGCCAAAGTCAAAGTGAAGGAGAAAATCCTACAAACTGTGCAACAAAAGCATCAAGTAACGTACAAAGGAAAACCCATCAGACTGATGGCAGACTTCTTAGCAGAAACCTTATAAGCCAGAAGGGACTGGGGTCCCATTCTGTTTAAGTCTTCTTAAACTCATTTAAGTCTTCTTAAACAGAATAACTACCAGCCAAGAATTTTGTATCCTGCAAAACTAAGTTTCATAAATGGAGGAGAAATAAAGTCTTTCTTAGACAAGCAAATACTAAAGGAATTTGTCACCATTAGACCCGTCCTACAAGAAATGCTTAAATATACTTAAAAGTATATGTGGAACTGAACAATTGATACCCACCAGTGTAAAAACTCCCAAAAGTTAAAACTCACAGCTCTTATAAAACAGTAACATAAGGGAGAAAACAAAGCAACTAGGAACAATCAATACGATGACCAGAACAGTATCTCACATACCACTACTAACACCGAATATAAATGGTCTTAATTCCTCACTTAAAAGATATAAATTGGCTGAATGAATTAAAAAACACAACCCAACTATCTAGTGTCTCCAAGAAATCCATTTAACTCACAAAGATTCTCATAAACTCAAAGTAAAGGGGTGGAAAAAAATATTCCACACAAATGGGAACCAAAAGTGAGCAGCAGTAGCTATTTTCATATCAGATAAAAATCGACTTTAAATCAGCAACGGTAAAAAAAGACAAAGATGGTCATTATATAATGATAATGGGCAAAGTTCAACAAGAAGATACAATAATCCTAGATATATATGCGCCTAATACAGGAGCTCCTAGATTCATAAAACAAGTTCTACTAGATCTAAGGAAAGAAATAAACGGCAACATCTTAATAGCCAGGGACTTCAAGATTCCACTAACAGAACTAGACAGATAATCAAGGCAAAAAATCAACAAAGGAACACTGGACTTAAGTGAGACACTAAAACTAATGGACCTAATACACATTTACAGAACATTCTACCCCAAAACAGCAGAATATACATTCTTCTAATCAGCACATGGGATGTTTTCCAAGATAGATCATATATTAGGCCACAAAACAAGTCTCATAAAATCTAGAAAAATCATAATCATATCATGTATCTTCTGAGACCACAGTAGAATAAAACTAGAAATCAATTCCGAGGGGAACTCTCAAATCTATGCAAATTCATGAAAATTAAACAATGTGCTACTGAATAATCCTTGGGTCAATGATGAAATCAAGATAAAAATAAAAAAATTTTTTGTATTGAATGATGAAGGTGACACAACCTTCCAAAATCTTTGGGATATAGTAAAAGAAGTGCTATGAGGGAATTTCATAGCATTACATGCCTGCATCAAAAAGACAGAAAGATCACAAATTAACAACCTAATGTTACACCTCAAGGAACTAGAAAAAGAAGCACAAAACAAACTCAAAGCTAGCAGAAGAAAGGAAATAACAAAAATCAGAGCAGAACTAAACAAATTAGAAATAAAAAAAAATATATAATGGATAAATGAAATAAAAAGTCAGTTCTTTGAAAAGATAAACAAAATCAATAGACCACTAGATTAACCAGAAATAGAAGAGAAAGCTCAATAAGAAAGGAAAAAGGAGACAGTACAATTGATACCACAGAAAAACAAGATATCATCTGAGACTACAAGGAAACCCCTATGAACACAAACTAGAAAATCTATAGTAAATGAATAAATTTTTGGAAACACACACCACCCAAGCTTGAATTAGAAGAAATAGAAATCCTGAACAGACCAATAATGATTGAAACAGTAACAAAAAATCTTCCAACATAAAAAAACCCAGGACCAGATGGATTCACAGCTGAATTCTACCAGCCCTACAAAGAAGAACTGGCACCTATCCTAGTGAAACTCTTCCATAACATAGAGAAGGAAGAAATCCTCCCTAACTCATTCTATGAAGCCAGTATCACTCTGATACCAAAGCCAGGAAAGGACACGACAAAGAAAGAAAACTATACACCAATATCCCTTACAAACACAGATGCAAAAATCCTCAACAAAATACTAGGAAATCAAATCCAATGGCACATCAAAAAGATAATTCACCATGATCAAGTAGGTTTCATCCCATGGATGAAAGGATGTTTCAACATATGCAAATTGATAAATGTGATTCACCACAGAAACAGAATTAAAAACAAAACCCATATAATCATCTCAATAGATGCAGAAAAAACATTCAATAAAATTCAGCACCCCTTCATGATAAAAACCCTCAACAAATGAGGCACAGAAGGAACATACCTCAAAATAAATAAAATCCATATATCACAAAGCCACAGGCAACAACATACCGAATGGGGAAAAGTTGAAAGCATTCCCCGTAAGAACCAGAACAAGACAAGGATGCCCACTTTCACCACTTCTATTCGACATAGTACTGGAAGTTCTAGCTAGGGCAATCAGGCAAAAGAAATAAAGGGCATACAAATCTGGGAAAGAGAAGGGCAAACTATCCCTGTTTGTTGACCACATGATCTTATATCTAGAAAACCCTAAAGACTCCACCAAAAGACTCCTAGAATTGATAAATTCAGTAAAGTCTCATGTTACAAAATTAATGTACACAAATAAGTAGCATTTTTATATACTAATAACAGTCAAGTTGAGAGTCAAATCAAGAACTCAATGCCATTTACAATAGCTGCAAAGAAAATAAAATACCTAGGAATATAATTAACCAAGGAAGTGAAAGATCTCTATGAGCAGAATTACAAAATGCTGATGAAAGAAATCATAGATGATACAAACAAATGGAAAAACATCCCATGCTCACAAATTGGAAAAATCAACATTGTGAAAATGTCCATACTGAAAGTGATTTATAGATTCAACGTAATTCTCATCAAAATACCAATGTCATTTTTCACAGATTTAGAAAAAAAATCCTAAACTTCATATGGAATCAAAAAAGGGCCTGAATAGCCAAAAGCAATCCTAAGCAAACAGAACAAATCTGGAGGCATCACATTACCTAACTTCAAATTATATTACAAGGCTATAATAATGAAACCAGCATGGTACTGCTACAAAGGTAGACACATAGACCTTTGGAACACAGTAGACAACCCAGAAATAAAGCCATATAGCTACAACTAACTGGTTTTTGACAAAGCAGACAAAGACACACACTAGGGAAAGGATACACCATTCAATACATGGTGCTGGGAAAACTGGATAGCCACATGCAGAAGAATAAAACTGGATCCCTATTTCTCACCACATACAAAAATTAACAAGATTGATTAAAGACTTAAATGTAAGACCTTATACCATAAAAATTCTTGAAGAAAATGTAGGAAAACTCTTCTGGACATCGGTGTAGGCAAAGAATTTATGACCAAGACCCCAATAGCAAATACAGCAACAACAAGAATAAATAAATGGGACTTAATTAAACTAAAAGTCTCTGCACAGCAGAGGAAATAATCAGTAAAGTAAATAGACAACCTAAAGAATGGGAGAAAATATTTGTAAACTATACAGCCAACAAAGGACTAATATCCAGAATCTACAAAGAACTCAAACAAATCATCAAGAAAAAAACGAAATAACCCTATCGAAAAGTAGACAAAAGACAAAAAGTAGACAAAAGAAGATAGACAATAGCCAACATATGAAAATATGCTCAATATCATTAATGATCAGGGAAATGCAAATTAAAACCACAATGAGATACCACCTTACCCCTGTCAGAATGGCTACTATTAAAAAGTCAAAAAACAATAGATGTTGGTGCAGATGTGGTAAAAGGGGAACGTTTATACACTGCTGGTGGAAATGTAAACTAGTACAACCTCTGTGGAAAATAGTATGGAGATTTCTCAAAGAACTAAAAGTAGACCTACCATTTGATCCAGCAATCCCACAACTAGGTATCTCCCCGAAAGAAAAGAAGCCATTTTATTTAAAAAAAAGGTTCTTGCACCCGAATGTTTTTCACAGCACAATTCACAATTGCAAAGATATGGAATAAACCTAAGTGCCCATCAATTGACAAGTGGATAAAGAAAACGTGGTGTATGTATATACCACAGAGTACTACTGAGCCATAAAAAAGAATGAAATGATGTCTTTTACAGCAACTTGGATGGAATAGGAGACCATTATCCTAAGCGAAGTATCCCAGGAACGGAAAAACAAATACCACATGTTCTTACTTATAAGTGGGTGCTGTAACAAGGGATATATACAGTCATAAAGTGGTGTAATGGACATTGGAAACAAGGAAGAGGGGAGGAAGGGGAGTGAGGGATAGCAATTTACCTACTGGGTACAATGAACACTCTTCCAGTGACAGGTGCACTAGAAGCCCTGACTTCAGCATTTTACAATTCATCCATGTAACAAAAATCACTCATACCCCCTAAATCTATTGAAATTTTTAAAAAAAATATGGATGCAATAGGACGGGAAAGAAAGAGGACACTGCAGTTCCCCACTATGACAAAAGCCACCTGCAGGCTAAGCTACATCTGCAGATGATATAAGACTCAGCTATGACTTAGGTCCAGCCCTGCCAGTCCCTTTGCTGTAAACACAACAGAGATGGCCATGGAAGGCTGGGGAATCAAATTTGTCCTGTCTGAGCTAATGAAGGACTCCCCTTGCCCATTGGGGAGGGGGCCATTTTGGGGATGGCTTTCAGGTGTAGGAAGGGGCTCCCAGTGAAGCAGATACTGGGCAGATGTCAGCAGTGCCTGACTCCACTTACAAAACAGGGCAGAGGCTTCCTCTGGGCACATCTACTGTATGTAAGCTTTGCTGTTCAAGCTTTTCCTGCAGCCAGGAAAGAGGCAAACAAGTGAGAGCTCATCCTCTCTGTCCTGTCCCCTACAGGATAAACCCGTTCAAACACACTTTATACAGAGAGCAGCAGTCACCCTCCAGAATCCAAGGGCACCTGCCAGCTCTCCCTTTATGCTCCTTGGTCTGGCAAAGCCAAGCATCAGCCCACAAATGGTCAATGTAGAATAAGGCCCCCCAAAGGCCCTTGAATGAGCCCACATCTAGAAACTCAGCCCAGACAAAAGATGCTTCATCACAGGAGTTCTTAACTGGGATCCAGGGCTCCTGCAGGATCATAAATGTGCTTCACGGCTCAGTAAATTCCCTAAAACTTCTTGCAAAAATATGTGGGGGATGGTAATGGAGGCAATGGTGTATTTTTACAGGAAGAGGGTGCAAGTGTTGACCACTTGAGGGTGCAAGTGTTAAGTGATGCTTAAAGGAGTCCATGACCACAGAGTGATTAAGAACCATTGACTTAGTGCTTCTCAGAAATTTCCAAGAATCATGCTAATAGAGGAGTCTCGTAATAATCACAATTCAATTTTCCGGTGGGTCTATGTCTTGGACTTTTTGGACCATGCTCTTTGGGAGGCACCAGCAAGCCCCCTCCTCTGTACATGCACAGATCCTTCAGGGCCTCAGAGCCACCCCAGCACAGGGCCTGATGGTTATGCTCCCTATGCTAGGACAGGGACATGGCCCAGGACCTGTGAGAGACACCCTGAGACAGGAAGAGCAGGGCACTCACCTCTTGCCTGCTACAGTGGCATCCCCTGAGGTCACTGTGGTGTCCCCGGTGAGCATCTTGAATGTGGTTGTTTTGCCAGCACCATTCACTCCGAGGAGGCCAAAGCACTAGGAGAAATCACAGAATCGGCCTGGCCCTAGAGACCAAGAAGGTCTGGAATGTCAGGCCTCAGGCAAGGCATTTAAGATGCAGGCTGCCATCACAAGGCCACTAGCCACATGTGGCCACTGAGCACTTGAAACACATCTAAGTGCCAATTGACATGGGCCCTAAGTGTCAAAGACATGTTGGCTTTTGAAGATTTAGAGCAAAAAAAAAAAAAATTCAAAATATCTGATTAATAATGTTTCATATTAATTCCATGTTGAAATGATACTTTTTTAATATATCAGGTAAAATAAAAAATAATATTAAAATTAATTTCACCTGTTTTCTTTTTACTCTTTCCATGTGGCTACTAAAAACATGTGAAATTACAAACATGGCTTGCATTATATTCCTATCAGATAGCTCTGCCTTAGAGGGGAGAAGAGTCAGGCGCAAGAACTGCTTTTCTGCAGCCCTTTCTGGTGTGGTCTGCGGAGTACCCACCTCTCCAGGGCGGACGCCGACACACAGCCTGTCCACCGCTGGGCTGGAGGTGCCTGAATAAATCTGCAAGATCCAGAGAAACTGGACTGAGAACCAATGCAGGGTTAGAGCAGGGAGGGGAAGAGGGAACGAAAAGCAAAGGATGATTGAGAAGAAAACTACCAGCACTAGGAGGTTACACATTGACATGAGCACTGAGAAATCTCGAAGCCGACCCACACCGTGCATAAATTGAACAGAGAAAGCTGAGTGATGCTCAGTTGGAGTGGCTCTTGCCAAGGCCCTATGTCAGTACCTGAGATGAATAGCAGGGAAAACACATTGGATTTAAACGTTCTGAAGACAAGTTATAACACAGAGATGACAACCCTACATAAAATTAGGAAACCGAACTGCTTGCATGAGCATATTGCTTGTACTACAGAAGGAAACTGCAACGTCATGCCATCTGTGGGTGTAACCAGCACCTCCAAACTAACATGCCTGCACCTATTCCCTTACCTTGGTTAGCTCATTTAGCCTTAAGATATCAGTTTTATTTCCCCCACTAATAATTCTTTGTCTTTCTTCAGCCACATCATCATCTTCATCCACAATGGGCTCCTTAGAGGGCTCTGCAATCCTATAGGAAGGAAAGGGGACAGGATGGGCTGGGTGTACCGTGTCCTTGGCAGTGTCCTTTCCATCTGACCTTTCTTCCTATTCCCTCACCTCGGCTTCCTTCTGGGCTTCCTTTCCTAAGGCTTAAATTCTAAAAAGGCTTCCCAACAGGAGAGACATCAGGCATTACGTAGAGACACGCTCAAGTCCAGAGTCAGCCCTGGGTTCCAGTCATGGCCTTCCCATGCGTGACCTTGGGCATGTCGTTGAACTTCTCTGAACCTTGCCTCCTTTAATCACATGATGGGGAAGGGGATAGTAACATCTGCCCCATAAGACTGTGGCGAAGATGAACTCAGCACATTGCCTGGTGCAGAGTAAAGACGCAGGGCCTGGGAGCTGCTATCATTACTAAAACCCTTCCTCTATGGCAAGCACTCAGCAAAGGTGAGTTACCATCAGCAGAGCTTCCTACTTCCCCTAGTCCACCCTGCCAACTCAACCTCTTCAAAATAGTGCTGTCATCTGGCCGCTTCAAGCCTCAAAACCTTCCCTGGTCCTTCATCAGCTGTAGGTTGAAGCCCTCACTCCCCAGCTGGGATGGGAGCCCTGCACTCCAGCCTAACCCCCCTTCCCACTCACCCCTCGCACCAGCTCCCTCCTCAGCCACTGGCACCTACCCCAGGTCCCAGCCCTGTTGGCTGGTCCCACCTCCCAGCCACTGCAGTGTTTCCAGCCCCTCAATGTTCTCTTCCTCCTGCCCCCCTGCCAAATGGAATCTTCCCCTCCTTAAAGACACAGCCTCTTCTCTGACACCCTCCCTGAGCTTCTGGAAGCCACAGACTGTGGTCTGCTTCCCTGATCCTCTTTAGGCCCGAATGCAGGCAGGACTCACACAGTTGTGTTGCCATCAGTTTGAAGCTAATGAGTCGCTTTTGGCAGCCAGTCCTCTGCCCTACTCTCCTCCCCCACATAAAGGCCTCTAGAAGGTGTGACCAAAGCTGCAGAGAGAACCTACAAGGGCTGAGGGTCACCAGGACAATAATTCCTCATGTAACAATTCCTCTCTCTTAACCAGAACCAGTTCCTGACCATGTTTTATTGCGTGCTGACATGCATGATCTCATTCAACGCTCATAACCCTGTGAGTAGGGAGGTAGATTCATTTCCAATAAATCCATTCCCTATGGATCAAAACCTAAAAACAAATTCTTGGAATCTTTCTTTACCTGTGACCAGACTCATCCTGAGAGGAGGAAGGTTAAGAAACAGAACACTGTCCACGACAGCTTGCTAGGGAGGCCGGTGCTGTGTAATTCAGGACCCTGGGCAAGGCTGGTGACGCTCAGCCTGGGTTGCAGAGGTGCTGCCCTCTGGAAACCGGAGCCCCCAAGCTGGCGTGAAGCAGGGGCCAGCAGGCCTGGGGAAGAGCCTGGGAAGAATGGCGTGAGGCCAGCTGACCTGGCAGTTGAGGCGTCCTGGTCAAGAGCAGGGTTGGCAGCGATCACTGCCCTCACCCTCCACGCGGTTCCGGGCGGCACTCTCCTGGTGCACGGCCCCAAGCTCTCTCCTGCTTTCCTCTCCTGCCCCCATGCCTAGATCTCTAATTAGCAAAGGGGCCACTGTGTCTCCTCTCTCAAGAAGACATAAATCTACTTCCTAGTACTTTGGATAACCATTAACCATTGTCATTGGCAATGCGATCATCCAATTAAAATGAGTATCTAGTAATTAAATGGTAGTAATTAAATATTAGTAATTGAAACTGGTAACATTGCATTTTAAATATTTTAAAGTTGAGACTCATCACAGACTCTAATGTGCCTATTTTAACCTGTCCCTCCTTGTGCTATGTAAAAACCCCTCACGAAGTGGGGCTCCCGAGGAAACAGATGCCCACGCCGTGGGCCAGTGTGAAGTCCAGTCCTGGTGGCGCAGAGCTGCCTGTTGGCCCTGGGGTGGGCGTGGACGTACCACTGGGTGAGGAAGAAGTGGTGCTGGGCGAGGAGGGTGAGCAGGAAGTACACGACCCCTTCCACCGCCATGGCGGCCAGGTTCTTCCCGATCAGGTCCCACTGGAACGGGTTGGAAGAGTGCTCCTCACCTGAGGAAGCAGCAGGAGTTGAGTCTGCTGGAGCTGCCCCGGCTCTCCCCTACGCACTGGCCACAACGCCAGGCCCGCCAGGGATTACACAGGAACTGACCACCGGGCTCCTCTGGGCCTCCCAGTCAGAGCAGGGGACGGTAAAAGCCTGCCCTCCAGCCCTCCTGTGGCTCCACCCCTTCTAGGTGGCGGGACACTCCCAGACCAACAAGGTGCCCTCCTGGCCCCAGCCCAGGCTGCAGGTCTGGCCTAGGAACTCCCACCACAGCCCTCCCTGGGCCAACACCCCGTGGGCCACCACTGCCACCCACCAAACCGAGTGTAGACGTCTGTCACGGCCTGGCTCAGCGCCAGGTCAATGAGGCCCCGGCCCAGGCAGAAGTGAGGGAAGATGATGAGCAGCTTCCTCAGCATGGCATTGAACCTGAGCAGAGTCTGAAACAGAGAAGCAGGGCCGTTGGAAGCGGGGGCCTGGATGACCTCGCACAGCAGGACCAGGGCGAGGCCTGCAGACGAAGGAGTCCTTGCAGCCAGACTGGCCACAGGAGGGCTTTGTCAGGCAGAGCACAGGGGTTTGATGCGGAAGTCCTGAAGTTCTTGCAGGAGGTGCCTCATGACTGGGCCAAGGAACCAATCAATTAATGACTCAGCAATGACTGGGGCTCCCTGCACGTTTCCGGTGGGCAAAAGCTGCTCCTTCATCCAGCCAGACAGCATTTCCTCAACATGTACTAAGCCCAGGACTGTGTGGGCACTGAGGTGAACCGTGAGGAACATCCACATCGCTTTCCTTAACCCCTAGGTGACTCCGGGCAAGGGCAGGAATCCGCAGAGGAGCAGCCTCTGCCGTCTGCTGGCGGAGCTCCGCGCAGACTCTGGAAGTGCCCGGGAGCCCTCTGAGGCATCTGTTACCAGGGCACGTGCAGCTGCCGGGAGGTGGCGGGGTCTCTTCTTAGGTACAGCTGTGAGCCATCCCTGGGCCTGAGGTTCCTTCATCAGCTCTGTGTTAGTGCAGCTTGTACCAAAGGGGAGCAGCCCTGAGCTGTCCCTGGCTTTGCTTCTCAAATTCACTCAGGGTGGCTACCACTGTCTGGGGAGAAGGCCCGACTCTTGTTGGGCAGAGCCTCTGTGAAGGTAGAAGGGACACCAAGGGGACGGGGCAGGTGAAGCTCCGGGCTGCGGCACTGAGCGCGCTCCACCCGGCCCATCCCTACCCCAGCCTCTGCGACTCTGCCCGTCAGCCCATCCTTCCCTACCTCCCCCACCCTCCCCAACTCCTCCCACAATCAATGCACACTTTTGCCTCTAGGCCTTTGCATTTGCGGTTTCTATTATCTGCTGCTCTTAGCAGGAAAGCATGCTCTTTTCCCCTCTGCTTTCTGACAGATTCCTGCTCTTCTGTAGAAAGCTTCTCAGGTAGCCCCTTCTCTCATACGCCTCCCCAGATCCCCAAAATAAAATCTCCATTCCTCGCTTACAGTGCTGATCACATTTCTGTGATTAATTTCTTTCTAACCTGCCTACTTTCTCTGCTAGTCAGTGGTTCCCTGGAGGGCAGGGACTGGGTCCTAATTATTTTTGTGTCCTTCCTAAATGATCGTGTCCTTCCACAATGATTAGCTCATAATAGTCACATCAATATTTATTAAATGGGCTAATAAAATTCTACTTGTTCCAAGCCAGGTTCAAATTGAATTTCCTTCAGAGAGTCCCAGCCTCTGCAGCCCGGCCTTCTGGCCCGCTCTGACTTGCAGCGTGTGCCTGCCTCACTCCTCTGACGCTCTGTCTTATGGAATGTCATGCTCTGTGACTTGCTAACTGGGTGGGCAGGTCCTTTCCTGATTGGAACTGGAGCTCCTGAGGGCAGGACTGGGGGTCACCCTGTTTATGTGGGCACATCCATCCCACCGTGCTCGCCTGGTAAGTACCTCCTGACCGAGCAGGGGCAGCAGCTGCTGGACCCTGAGCCTCCGGTGGGATACCGGGCATTTCTGCAGCGTCTGTCTGTCCACGACTGCACATGAAAGTTACCTGCTTTTAAGGGGGAGTGCTCAGCAAATGTTGGCTAAACGGGTGCAGCTGCAGGAGGGAGAATGTTCTGAGTGCTTTAAGCTTGCTGTTTAATTGTTCTGAAGTAACACACTCTCTTAAGACCTAGCGGTCTGTAAGTCTGTGACAAAAACAGCTTGGAAGAGCAGCAGTTTCTGCCCACCAGGGTGCTCTGGCGTCAGCTGGGTCTGCGTTCTCATGCAACCCCTTCCGCGGTCTGACTGTGACATGCCGTATTTCTCATCATTCATGGGACGGATGGGGCTTCATTTCTTGCTTAAGCAGCCACAGAAAGCCTGACAAGGTCTGGGAAAGAGGCACACGCAGTAGCCCTCAGGACTGCGGTTAGCCTCATGGGGCCTCCGCACAGATTTGCCCTGTGTTCTCCCAGCGGGGCCCAGAGGCAGGGTGGAGGTGGGCTGTAGGGCAGCAGAGCAGACTGCTGGCCGGTGCCACCATCTGAGCTGGGAAGACCAATGAGGAGAGGAAAGGCTAGTGAGGAGCCTGGGGACACAGGCGCAAGGATGAGCCCCAACATTCCGGGGGCTCAGGCACAGCGGCAGAGGGTGGGACTGTGAAGTAAAGACAGCCCAGCAGCCATTGCTGGTTTTTTTTTAGGATTTAGTCTGGTCATCTCTCTCTGAACAGGGAGAAGTCAGAGGGTGTGGATGGGACAATCAGGCTTTATCACTCAAAAAAGGGAGTCACTTAGCACCAGGAATTCTCAGTCCTGTCCTCAGGATTAATTTGTACACAGAATAGTATATCGTAGAATGTTACAATTTCCACAAGAAGGTGGGGAAAAGAATATATATGTACTTGCTAATATGTCTCCAGAACACATAAGAGACTCGAATAAGAGGTTGCCTCTGGAGAAGGGAACTGTGGGTGAATGGGAAATGGGCAGAAAGGAGATTTTTCATTGCCTGCCTCTTTGTTCCTTTTAAATTTTGAAATTGCCTGAATGCATTGTGTGTGTTTGTGTGTCTGTGTAGCCTAACACCCAAGGTCCCTGAGGAAACCTTCTTGAAGAAGTAAGCAAATCTGAAAGCTTATGATTATGAGAAGTCATTTATGGCTTGCAGAATAAGCTCAGAAAACTGTGACACTCGGAGCACACAAATGAATGAGGAGCTTGAAGGAAAGAAGGAAGGAGGGAAGGAGGGGAGGGGAGGGAGGGAGGGAAAGAGAGGAGAAAGGAGGGAAGGAAGGAGGGAAGGAAGGAGGTGGGAAGGGAGGACAGGAGGAGGGAGGGAGGGAAGGAGAGCAGGAAGGAAGGAAAGAAGGGGAGGAAGGAGGGAGGGGAGGCAGGCAGGAAAAAAGTGTGCACTAAGCTTGTGCTAAGCTTCTATGTCTACAATGCTTGTCCATGTCTCTGCTTGGCCAATATATACCCTCTATTATCCTACTAATCAAACAAAGAAGCCAAGAAAGCCACGCTCACCTGGTTATTCTCAAATAGTTCCAAGACGAAGGTGATGGCACTGCTGTTGATGCCAATGAACAGGTTAGCGCAAGACAAAGCCACATAGGCTGTGCTGGGGACATCAAACAGGAAGGATGCTGGGTACATCATGGGAATGACTGCCCATCTGTGTGAAATGACACAACTCAGTGGGATGGAGTTCCAATTTCCATTCCATCTGCTATGTCTCTAGATATAATGCACTCCCCTTATACATGAGGTGACATGTTTGAACTGGCCAGAGTCCCAGGAGGACCAAAGAGATACTCCATCCCTTGGTCTCTGTCCCTTAACTTTAAATGGAGATAGTAATGCCTGCCCTGACCACCTCATGGGGTTTTGTGAAAAGCAAGTGGAACAGGATCTGTGTTTGTAAATTATAAAGCCTTATTCAACACACAGGAGGGTTCTCTACCCTACGATGCTTCCCACTCTAGCTGGATCAGCAAAGCAGAGCTGAAGGTCCCAGCAAGCTCATCCTCACAGCTCACAGTCACACTGGTTCCTAGATTCTCTATTTCCAAGAGAGAGTAGAGACCACTGCTCTAGCTAGACTCTACCGGCCCACATAGGAGGGCTAAGTATCATTTTTCCATGTTACAGATGAGGAAACTGAGGCCCAGATGGGTGAATTACTCATTCACAGTTACACTCGTAGAAAGTGATGGGCTTGGGCTGTAGAGCTGCATGCTGTGCCTGAAATTTTACTGGACGTAATCCCTGTGTCGCCCCCTGGCCCTGACTTTGGAGCAGCTTTTCAGCTGGACTTTCCTACTGTGAGCAGATAACTCCCGGCCAGTACTGATGGACAGTCGGCCACAGATGAATCAGAGTCAGAGCTGGGTGAGGATCTGGGGAGTGACTGATTCCCAGGCTTTGGTCAAGGCCATGGTTTAACTGGAAGATGATTCAGACATGTGGGACTTTTCTCATTGTCCTTGAATGGACCAGGCCTCTGAAGTACCTCCATTAGTGGAGTCGGAAACAAAAGCCAGACACATTCCTGGTCGGCAGCCTCAGACCCTACCCGGGGCTGGGAGCTGCACTTGTAGATGCCACGGCCACAGGAAAGCCCAGGTTTTCTGTTGGAAAACCATCCCCCCTCCCCTGGCCTCCCTTTGGTGGCATTAGCCAATGGCCCAAACAGCTTACCCATACAGCATGAGTAGTGCAACCAGGGCAGGAAGATTTTCTGGGGAAGTGTAGGCTTTCTTCTGAAACCCGATGAAGATGCCCACCACCAGCCCAGCACTCACAGCATAATTCATCTTGAAGAGAGAAGAGGAGCACAAGTCACTGACCCTCTGGGACCTCTGATTCCTGGTCTGCAAAATGAGGGGTGGGACCAGGTTCCTCTGCTCTTAGGGTCTGGGATTCTGGTTCTAGTTGTCCAAACAGCTCTTGGTTAGCAGACATATGTCAAGCTGTCCTTTGCCCTACTGCACCAACCCCAGCGCTGCCTTCCTGCTCAGGGAACCTTTAGTCTGTATCTTTTAAAAGGATAAATTATAAAATTCCACCTGACCTCTTACTCTAATTGGTCACAAAGTCCTGTTGGTTCTACTCTTTATGCATGTCTCTGGAATTCAGAAAAATTAAAATATGATTCTTGCTTTCACAAAGCACAAATAGATGTTGATACCCTTTTTAAACAATAAAGCAATTAGTTGCACGTGGAAAGGTGCACGGCCACAGTAGGGTTGGGGAGGAGCCACAGTGGTCTCGAGCAGGATGAAAGCTAGAGAAGGGTGAGAGGGCGGCCTGGTGCGTCCTCCACTGGGACGAGGAGGACATCCTTCCAGGGGGTTGATCTGGTGTGGGGTATCAGTGCCAGAGCAGAATGGGGAGGACCTGCTTGCAGCAGGGGCAGCTGGAGCAGGAGAGGAGGGTGTCCACCCGGGGAGGGGGTGGTGGCGGAGAGGGGCATTCATTATACACAGGTGTAGTGCTCAGGTAAGTAAATGAGTTGGGATTAATAGAAGTCAGTTTTTCACTCTTGGAGAAGGAAGTTACAAATATAGAAAGACAGAAAACTAGAATGAGCCCTGTCATGCTGGATTGGAGCCAGAGGTTTTGGTGAGCCCATAGTGTTCAGTGTGTACACAGACATAGAAATATAGATGCAAGTCTGTGTATATCTGTGCGTGCATATACATATCTTCCCTAGCTCTAGCCCATGAGAAAACGTGGGACCAATTCCAGTGGCAATGAATATATCTGGCACCTAGATCTTGGTTTCTAAGGGTCACTTCCCACTAGAAGAAACCAGGTCTCCTTAGGAAGATGGTTTATTCCAGAGTCAGTGGTGGGTAGGGTTGGGGGGCAGGTGCAGGATGGTCCTGGAACATCTTTCTGTGCCAGAGAGCAAGGGGCTGCTCGAGGAGGCTGGGGACACAAGTTAAGAGGATACAGAGGCCAGCTTGCAGGGGCTCCCACTGGCCACACTGGGGAAATCTGAATGTCAAAATAAATGATTGTATTGGATTGTAATCTGCTGATTAACACAGGAGTTATGACTGCACACAGATATAAATAAATGGATGAATAAATGGAAAGCTCGATAACAAACAGGATATTCACATTTCTTCAAAGTACCTCTGCCCCCCAATTTCTATTAATTATAAAGGAGCAAATAGTAACGTTACAGTGGAGAAGCTCAGCAGACACCTTCTTAAGTGACCAAAGCGGACATCATCAGTAATAGGACAAATTGAAATCAGAAGCTACTAGATAAGATGCAATGAGAAGAGCACAGCATCTATTCCATGATGCTGCTGCCAAAGATGCGTAGCCTCAATCCAGTCATGAGGAATCCTCAGACGAACTCACACTGAAGGGCCTTCTGCAAAATAACTGGCCTATAATCTTCAAAAGTGTCAAGGCCTTGGGTATTAAGGAAAGACTGTGGAACCGTTCCAGGCCGAAGGAGATTAAAGAGATAGGATAGGTAAATGCCGTGCATGATTCTGAGCTAGATCCCTTTCTATGAAAGACATTATCAGGGCAATGGGTGAAACCTGAGTGGGCTCCGAGGACTAGGGGGTGGTGACGTATTAGTGCTGGTTTCCTGATGCTGAAGGTGTGTTGTGGTTGTGTGGAGCGTGTCCTCATTTGTGGGGGGTACACGTTGGAGGTGCTGGGGTGTGTGTATGGGGAGAAGAGGGGGCATCTTGTTGAGAAGTTACTCTCAAATGGCTCGGAAAAAAAAGTTTTGAACTGTATTTGCAACTTTTCTGTAAGTCTGTAATTGTTACAAAATTTATAAGAAAAGAAAAACAGATGACACACACAAAAAGATAAGAATTTAAAACATCATACATGCACTAAGTAAATGATACAAACAAAAATTGTTTGTTCATTGATTCAACAATGCCCCCCAAGCATGTGTTGTCTTTTTGCCACTGGGCATAAAGGGTGATAAGTTCCAAAAATCTAGATCCTAGGGCTCAGATTCCAGGCCAGCTTTAAAATGCTAGAGCATCAGAAAGCCTGCTAACAGGGTACTACGATCTTCTAACCCTTCATTGGACGGCCAAGTGTCTACTTTGCTAGTATTGCCTCCTACATCAGATACCCACTCCATCCTACCAGCTGTGTATCTCTCTCTAGGCTCTGAGATCTCTGTAGCACCTCCCCCGGCTCGCCACTCCATGGGCCAGCCCCTAGTATAAATTCTATTCTTCATCTTTTAAAAAGAGTAAAAGAAAAGAAGCAGCACTTTAATAAGTAGCTTTTCGGTGCAGGTGAGCCTAGCCCCTTTCGTGTGAAAATCGCAGGGCCAATGTAGCCCTTGCAGTGGCAGTCTTGTCCAAAGAGAGGCTTGCAGGCCTGACCTCCTCCCCGTGTGTGTGTATTTCTTCATGTAGACAGAAGAGAGAGGAAAGAATTTAGTTGCTACCGATAATTTCTGGCTTTGTATTGTTAAGTGATAGCTGCTTAACAAGTCTAGTGAGATCAAAGAAATGTCTTCAGGAATCCTAACATTGGCCGTCATCACTAAAAGCCATAATGGAGAAGGTGGTTTGTGTTGGTCTCCATCAGTTGACAACTTATCATCACGTGAAGTGGAGGCTCATGTAGTCCTTGGAATGTTGAGATAAAATTAATGATCTCGTTACTCACGACACCCAGAATACACTGGGGTGGTGTCCTAATGATCCCTGCTCCCTCCTAACTCGGCCTTTGCTACCACTTCATTTTGACCCTGTGGCCTGTCATAAGGTACCCTATGCTGACACTCCCCTGTCCCCACCAACCTGGGTTGTCAGAGAGGTGGTAGTCTGCTAGTGATTTGATAAATAATTTTTTCTTCATTTTCCCTAAAGTGGTGGCTAATCTAATCTAATAAAGGTCTGGTTACGTTGGGAAAGCAAAATAAGGCCACTGGGTAGGGCTGCCAGATTTAGCAAATAAAAATATAGGACACCCAGTTAAATTTGAATTTCAGACAAACAATCAATAGTTTTTTATATAAGTATATCCCATGCAATATTTGAAGTGGGACATACTTATACTAAAAAATATTCATTGTTTAACTGACATTCAAATTTAACTGGGTGTCCTATATTTATCCGGTGACCCTACCACAGGGGAAGTTTTACTCTTATCCTTTTGAGGGTGGGGCAGGACTTAAGAAGGGGTTGTGGGGTAAAGGGGATGTGTTGGTATTACCTTTTCAACTGCAGACCATTTCCAGGAAGGTCAGCCTCGTGCCTGCAGGCAGCAGTTATTCAGGGGGTCAGAAGCCCCCTCGGTGCAGGGCACAGAGAGCCTCCACTCAACAGCTGTTAAGCTGCACCCTGCATCCTTCCCCAGCTTTGGGTTCCTAGTTTTGTGCCTTTCTAAGATGTCAAGGGACAGCAGACACACAAGGCCCTCGGTCCAGCACCGTCCAGCAGCCGTGGCAGAGTGAGGAACCCCCTACCACCACCACTGTGTCCCCTCCTTCAGAGCACATACAGGTGCCACCTTGGCCCATGGAGGTGTAGAGGCACCATGAGCTGACACTCACGATGTCCCAGAAGAAGTTGGTCAGCCAGTAGGTGGTGGAGCTCACTCCGCTGATGAACTGCAGGTGCTTGGCTTTGTTTACTCTCTCCTTGATCAAATAAAGGACAAAGCTGGCTGGGACGAAGGACATGGCGAAAATCACGCAGATGGCAACCACAGCGTCCACCGAAGTGGTCAGCCTGCAGCAGGGCCGGAGACACAGGGAGGGAGAGATTAAGGAAGAGCAGACACAGGAGAAGACACAAAGCCAGGCCCTGGGAAGCTTGTGGCCTCCCGATTCCCCTTCCCTAGCCAGAAGCTTGTCTTTCCACTGAATTGCCTTAATAGATTTGAGTCAATGCTAAATGGGTAGTTTTGGGCCGCCTTTCTGCTTCATGTGAATATTTCTAGACAACCATTCTTTTTACTACATTTTCTAACTATTTTTTATGGTGTATACAAATAGATGTTTATATTAATCTCCTATACTGCAATGCTCTTTTTAGTTCTAATAATTTGTGTATAGATTCTTTGTCTTGAATTTTCTATGTAGACAGCCAGTCTGTGAAATGTCTTTCTTTATTTCTCTCCCTCTCTCTCTTTTTTTGAGATAGGGTCTCGTTCTGTTGCCCCGGCTAGAGTGCAGTGGTGTCATCATAGTTCACTGCAACATCAAATTCCTGGGCTCAGGCAATCCTCCTGCCTCAGCCTCCTGAGTAGCTGGGACTACAGGCACTTGCCACCACACCTGGCTAATATTTCTATTTTTTGTAGAGACGGGGTCTCGCTCTTGCTCAGGCTGGTCTCAAACTCCCTGCATCAAGCAATCCTCCCATCTCAGCCTCCCAAAGTGCTAGGATTACAGGCATGAGTCACCACACCTGGCCTTATTTCTTCTGTTAAAAGAAATAAATTATCTTATTAAATCACATTTTCAAGAAGCACATCATAACACAAGGAAATGTTCATAATGTAAATTTAAGAGAAAAGAAAGCAAGCAAGTTATACAGGGGCTTGGCTCTATTCACCCTTTTCTGGATCAAGTAGAAGGCACCTGGCTAAGCGGATAATTGGGGGCTAAAATCCAGCCTGAACTTTATGTACTGCACTCACCTACAGAAAAAAGCACTTCTACTAATCCCCAAAAGGCACCATATGTGGCAGTCATTGCCCTGATAAAACTGCAAATAGCATAATCTATATACATAGTAAACTTACCATAAATGACTGGAGGAAAACATACAAAAGTGTTTAGTGGAAATAACCTAAACTATATAGGGTTATAGATAATAAGCTATAAATTTTATTTAATGAACATGCACTATTTTATAATCACAGAAAGCCTCTGATTTCATATTTCATATTCAAAGGCTTTGCAGAAGGTACAGAAACTGGGGCTGAGTGAGAATTAACATAGGACAGTCTAGGGCCCTGTGGTGTCCAGAGGAAGGCACCATAAGCGAAGGCTCAAGTCTCAGTGGATGACTCTGGGCACATTCAGTAGCACTCAGAGTGCACTGGGTAGTAAAATCAGGACCCCACCACCTTCCGGAAGTCTGCGCCAACAAAGGCACTCCCACCAACCCTTCCTCCATACAGGCCTGGCATAGCGCAAACAAAGGACAAAATGTACAAGATGGATGTTAGCCCTGCCGGAAGCTGTGCCATAAGAGCATGACCATCTCCAAAGCATGACCATCTGAGGGGAAGTTACTGGAATCTAAGATAATGACAACTGGGGAGATGAAAGATCTACTGGACTTTGCCAGTTGCTGGCAGTCATTGTGCATACTAGCAAGGAGATTAATTGTGTAGGCTCCAGGAGCAATTTGCTACCAAGAGCCAAAAGGGAATGGAACCAACCATAAGCTGACTTTCCAAATAAATGTGGGGGAGATAGAATGGCCATGAGGCATTGAAAGTTGTCCACTCATATGTGCCTGATTAAACAGTGCTGCCATCCAGCCCTGCACTTCATGTTAGTGAAAATCCTTTTGGGGTATCCAGGAGTGGGGAAGGTGACGAGAAGGCTGTGAGGCTGAGGCCACGTGGCTTACACTGTAATCTCTGAGAGCTGCTCCTTGGTCAGATTCAGGGGCTGGCTTATGACGGTGATGCCATACTCCTCGGGGTCCTTGTCCTTGTGCAGGCTGGCTCGTAAGATGGCGTTGTGGGCCACATTGAGGAAGCTGACCATGGCATGCCAGCCTTTGTTGTTAAACCACACCTAGAGGGTGGAGAGGATACCTGAGATGCTGCACTAACACCAGCTGTTTAAAGAAAAAATTAGCGACAGGAACAAGAACGTGAGAAGGAGGAAGCGTTTGGCAGCGGAAAGACATTCCTCACCAGATTTCAGAAGGGGGAGGGATGGAATTTAATTAAGCTGGGAAAGTAAAAATAAAATAGCCCACTCATGAATTTTCAGCTCTCGGGCAGATGATGTGGGCCAAGTACCTTAATGTTGTCTTGAGTTTCTAGATGTTTAAGGAAATCAGACACTTCTTTAGAGGCCTCTCTGGTGATAGGGCCCTAGAAAAACCATATAAACAAACAAGAGGTTTTTGGCTTTTTTTTTCCTGTAGCACTCATGATAATTTTTAGTTCATGATAATTATGCAAGCTGAAAATCCTACGCAAATCTCCAGTCTGTTTACATACCCCGCTCACGTTCATTATCTGGCCAAGGTTGCTTAAAAAACCAACAAGTGCTTCCCCTGTGACAGGGATAACCGGGAGCTTTCCTCCTATGGAAATTCCTCCGTACCTGACAAGGCAACAGGAAATCCTTGGATCAGTGCCATGAACATCACCCCCACCAGCAGCCCTCTCAGTTTCTGTGGGGAAACATCTACTTTTGGGGGAATTGTCTGGACTAGCAAGCAACACTGCTCCACTTTACAAACAACTTGTAACTCTTCCCCATTACTGCTCCAGGATGAAGTCCAGACCCTCTCTTGGACTACAAGGCCCTTCTGAGTCTGGTCTGCCCTCTCTGACCTCATCCCTGTTCACACCTTGCCTTGCGGGCATATTCTGGCCATGTGGGATTATTGCCAGAGCTCCACATGGCTGAGGTTGCCTTTATGTCTCTTGGCCTTTGTAGGGCTGCTAGATTCCCTGGGTGCCTTTCCCTTTCTTGAGCATCTGGCTAACTCCAACTCACCTTGCATACAGCATCTTCTCTTTGATGCCTGCCCTGCCTGCCCTCCCACCCCAACCAATGGTTCCTTTCCTGTGCTGCCTCTGTGCTCTGCAGATATTTTTGGCAGCACTGGAAGCACCTTCAGCTAACCAGGACCCAGTCCTGACATCCCCATCTCTCAGGGCTCCAGCCTCACACCTGTGCAGGCAGGCCCTCCCACGTCCTCCCCGGCTCTCGCTCTGAACTGGGATGCTCTGCTGCTCTGGATGTCTAAAGTGATTCAGCTAAAACACCAAGCTGAGCATGTCACTCTCTGGCTTAAAAACCTTCAGCGGCAGGACAAAATCCAAACTCCTCAACAGAACAAAATTAATTTGCTGGTTCAGCAAGACAGAGGAGGAGATCTTTATTTCCTAGGGCCTCAAATTGTCCCCTCACTCAGACTTCAGCTGAGGCCCCGCAGTTCCCTCTAGGGAGCAATTCTAAAAGCCAGACTTCACATTTATGGTCTAGAATCCACCCAGGAAAGCAAGTCAACATCCATCTTGCACCCTTCTGGAAGTCGAGGTCCTGAGGGAGGCTGGGAGGCAGCTCACTCCTAGAATACCCCTCACAATTCTCTAAACCTCTGGAACCACTTGAGCCTCCAGGATGCCTCAGGAATGGGGCGAGTCTGGGGCTGGGCCAGACCTTCTGAAACTTAAAAGGAATGGGCCAACAAGTGTCCAGGGTTAGGCTACAAGTCCCTCTCATTGTAGTGTCACAAACTGTTATACACTTGGAGGTTTTTAGAACAGTTTTTGGGGGGAGAACACTGTAGAACTCCTTGTCAGGGAATACAATCTCCCACTTATATCCTCCAAGGAGATGTACCACTGAGTTTCTTCTGAGTCCAGGGTGTCCCTAGCCATGTGTCCTTCAGGACATGTCTTGTGAATTCCTGAGCACATGTGGAACAGCCCATCCACATGGCTTTGATATGTGGCTTTTATGTGCAATTATTTTAAATAGATCAATCTGAGATTTTAATATCTTATAAAAATAGTTTCTTACCTCTGTTCATTGACCCAGAATTTACTCTTTAAGCTGAAAGCCAAAATAAAATCATTCAATGAATATCACAAGTACAGCAGTGGTGTTAACTTTCCTTCCCAAACATTGGGTCTTCAGGGACATTTTTGCATTTCCTGAGATCCAAGCAACATGGAAGCCGCCCAGCCTGGGGGTGGAGCCTGAATACACATGCAGAGAAAGGACCGATGTTTTCCACCATTGGCTCTCCTAGTCACATCCCACGTGCTGGGCTTTCTGAGTGGCCCTGTTGTCAGGTCATGTCAGAGCAGTGTGCCCAACCCAGACCCAGACAACATGGCAAGGCCATGTCAGAGTGGAGTGAAGGATGCAGCCCTCCCCTCTTCCACCCTGCACACTCGGGGGGAGTTCTGACTTACTCCACAGCCCAAAGTTAAGACACCAGCTTTCGGACAAATTGGGGTAAAATGACAAGATGGGAAATGAACGGATGTCAACTCCTGACCCCAGAGTTCAAGCCCATGAACTATCATTGTTATCAGCTATCAAGCACAAAAAATGCAAAATACTATACAGCAAATTTGCTGCTGAGAACAAAGTTTGGGGTGGTTGTTGTTGATTTCATTATTGAATCAACTCTATGCACTCTGCTTTTTATTTTGGGATTTGGATGGCATTCTTGATTTTGCCAACTGCTTTTACCATCTGCAATGTATTCTAGTTAATCAAGTCCATTTATCCCTTCCTCAGGGATCTAGTAGGGGAAGCAACTGAAAGTACTACTAGAGTTACCATAAACCGTGTTTTACTTTAAAGCCCCAGAGCACACGCATCCTTAGGACCCTCTCTCCCAGCACGCTCTTGTCAAGCTGCTTGCTCTGTTAGGGGCTGCTGAAGCCCTTCCACCCTGGGTGAGGCTTGATAAGAACGGCCACAGAGCTGAGAGAACTAGATACTCCTTGAGGAGTTCACTGGACGTTAAAGGGTGGCGATAACGGGTGATAATTCACAGAATATGCCAGCCCCTCCCCTGCAGAGGCACTCAGACGCTAGCCACCGCCTCTTTCCTATCTGGGTCTAATTTTTTGCTTCTTATTTTTCCCTCCTGCTGCTCTCCTTTTCCTCAATTCCCCCCCACCATTCTCCCTCCTCTTTCCAAACTTTTTCTGTCTTAACTAGTTAAAATATGTGGCCACAGTATCGAATAATTTCTATGCTTTTCTGACATTACTTTTAATAGTGTGTGGGTTAAAATTTAAGACAGCTTGCCCTAAACACAAAAACAAAAGCCAGAATTAATCTTAAGTTGCATTCTACTTGTATATGCCTCAATTGCTTCCCCTGTTGAATGAGGCCCTCAAATTAGAAAAAAGAAAAAAATTTAACTGTCTTGATCATAGATAAATCATGAGAGTAAATTATCTTCTGTCCTTGGTTATTATTTTCTCCAGGGATCCAGGATAAAAGTATAAAAAAAGTCTCTTCTTACCTGCTTCTTATAAGAGCAGGATATGTTTTTACCAAGAAGTCGGAGATGTTCCTGTTCGTAAGGTCTTGTAGGATTTCAGTGCTGCGCTGTGTTCTCTGAGGCAATGAGACACCCACGTTAATTACTTTGGAACTGGAGGCCTTACAGTTTGTGAAACTACTTGTTCTCCAAATATTATTTATGGACTCGGCTGCTGGGAAAATACTAAATAAAGCACTGGCATCTCACTAGTTCTCACATCACTGGTGTGAGTCATCTTTGATCTCCCCTTTTCTCCAACCCATTGACAAGACAGGGTGGCTGAACTCCAAAACATTATAAACCTCCAATCCATCTTTGTTTCTCCGCCCCCAATACTGCCCCCCTACCCAAGCCACCACCTAGGCCTCTATGGAAACTCCCAAACTGGTATCTCTGATCCTACGCTTGGTCCTCCACATCCCATTCTCCAGCCGGCAGCCAGATTGAGCTGTAAAATGTCTCCAAACCCTTCGGTCCCCTTGCTTACCCTCAAACACTCCAATAAATCCTAGGACCAGAGCCCAACTCATTGTAAAGGTGACACAGTCCTCCCATGAGCTCCTCCGGGCTCACCTGCCGCGCCATCCCCTCACTCCCGCCTGCCCTCTCACTCCTGATGTAGCTTGCACTTGGCGGTTCCCTCTGCCTGGGAACTACCTGCAGGCTTGCCATGGGCAGCTATCACTTCAGATTTTATCCCCCAGAGCACATTCTCTGTTCCTAGTCACTCTCTAGCACCATGTTCTGTCATGTTTTCGTCACAGCACTCTGAGGTTTTCCTTCTGGGGGATCTGTTTACCTGTTGCCATCTGTTGTATGTCTCTGCAGGGACTTTGCCTGACTTGTGGGCTATTGTGTTCCCAGCACCCAGAACAGTACCTGGCGTACAGTTGACACAATATATTTGTGACATTAATGAAGGAATTTGAATAGTGCCCTACAATTTACAAATCACTTTCAAAATACATCTAGGACTGAAAGCTAGTTCATCAAAAGCTTTTGGAGAATTCAAAAGTGCATGAGTTTGGCCGCCAGATGGCAATATTATTTCAAATTTGGGAACACATTGTGTTTAGTTTCTCATCTTAGCCAATTTCACGGGTCAGTCACAAACCTTCCCCAAAAGCATTTGCTCTGTCAAGGGTGCTACCCAGGGGTAACCGAGAAGACTTTTGGTGGCATTAAATACCATTCTTTTCCACATACCATACCACATACCATTCTTTTCACTTCCATACACTTCCTATCTCCTCCTCCCTTTTCCAATTTTACTTTCCCTCTGCAGTTGAGTCTTTCCATCTTTTTCTGCTCTCTTCAGCTAAAAAGAGAACGGGTGTCTGCTAAATGCTCACGGTGTGCCAGACACTACGTTAAATGCCCTACATACACGATCTCACTTAATCTTAATACACTCGTGAAAGAGGAATTCTTACTTTAATTTAAAGACAGAGAAACAGATTCAGAAGGGTCAGCTGGCCAGCCCTGGGGCACAGCGCCTGTGTGGTGGCCCAGGAACCGCGCCTGCATCTGTGTGGCTCTGGCCCTCCCGCTCTACCGCCTCTTCTCAGGCGGTGCACTGAAGTGTTCGCTGCCACAGTGCCCTGGTGGAATCTAGGCTGGAACAATTGCTGATGCCTGGGATAGTCTGTGATAGATGGTTTTCTGAAAATTATGTCAAAATACTCCTACAACTCTATCTCCATGTATACCAGATGTCAGGGACAGAGTGAACCCACTTCAGGACCCACCACCATGTAAAGAATGTTAGAGCAGGAAGGGTCTCTAGAGACGACTGTATCTACCATTCCTATTTTCCAGGTGAGGACAACTGACCCCCTCTGAATCAGGCCATACCCTTGGACTTATTCCAGGCTGGCTGAGGGAGTGTGTTTGAGTGAGTGGGGTGAGTAAATGTGAATAGGTGTGTGTGTGTGAGAGAGAGAGAGAGAGTGTGCACTCGAGTGAGCACAGTTCCTGTGCAGATATGTGACATTCAATTTTGCTCCAAAAAAGGCATGAATGGTAGTGAGGAAATGCAGGAGTGAAAGAAAATCATAGGAACTGGTTTGCCTTTTTGCAGCACTTTGGCTGTAGAAGCCTGTTAAATTTTTCCCCAGGGACCACGGACTAACACCACTGGAGATAAGTTTCCAAGTTGGACAGGCAGCGCTGACGTGAGGACTCATTTAGGGAATGCATCACCATGGGGACAGGCTTGGCCTTCCCTCCCTCTCCTGGCTGCGAACTTAATATACAGTGTCACAGCCTTGGGTCCTGGTGCTGGATGACTCTGAACAGACGCAGTCCCAGGAGCACTCAGCACTTGACCGCAAACCAAACAAGCAAAGCTTCCTCTTGGGGTACAAGAGGAACAAGGACACTGAAACAAGCTCCTTGTGTCCTTATTTTGGAATCCCTATGATGCTGAGTTGTGATTCAAAGACAAAATATATTGCTTGAGAAATATAAAGGTATATGCCTTAGAATATAAAGAAAGAGAAAGATTGGGTATTCATTAACATAGAATCATTGACAAGCCAGCAATTGTGATAGATATGATGGCAAAATCTAGTTGTCCCCCATTATCTGCTCATCCCCACTGCCATAGCAGTGGCCTTTTTTGCTGAGCACATGGCCACCCAGAATAAAGACCTCAGCTCCCAGTGTCCCTTGATACCAGGTTCTGGCCAGTGATATATAAGTGCAAGTGCTATGTGGTAGCTTCTGGAAATCTTCCTTAAAAACAGCACTTCTGCACACTTTGCCCTCTCTTTTGCTTTGTCCTTCTTCCATTCTGATGCCTGGAAAATAAATTCTGCCGATTTGGCCGATGAGGTCAAGGCCTAGTTAGCACAGAGGAAGAGCAGGATAAAACATCATGGACCACCCACGTACACTTTTAGATGAGAGCAAAACAAGTTGGGTCTCATTTTATCCATTGTTAGTTTGGAGCTGTCATCACTTGAGTTCAAGCTAACTCTAAAAACTCCTTGCCCACATATTTCATTAAATTCTCATAATAATACTATGAGATAAGTGCAGTTATCCCCACTTTGCAGGTGAGGAAATTAAGGCTCAGAGAGGTCAGGTAACCCACCCAGGCCTCTCCACCTCCCACACCTGTGCCCTTCCCACTGCACCACACTGCCTCTTTGGGAATTGTTCACTTACTGCCAAATCATGGGAGAGAGTCGTCTGAGGCCCAGCACTGTGCAGTCAGCTGGGAGGCCCATTACCAACCAGATACAAAGTGAGACTTGCATGGCCCTCGTACTATCTCCGAAACCCCCAGGAGAGGATCACTGTGATCTATTCCAGAGTTCAGAACTCCCAAGATAGGGAGCTGCACAGAGCCAAGATCACAGATGTTCCTTAAAAAACTGAGTGCTGACCGTGTATGTGTATACACACGCATGCACGCGCATTAGATACACAGCACACGGCAAGCATAAGACTGTTAACAAGTATGTAAGTAAATCTGCATTGGAATGTACATCATAGCATTGTTTATAGTGGAGAAAAATTGAAAACTCAAATGCCCAACAATGGGAGATCAGTTGAATAATTTAAAGTAAGTCCAAATAATAGAATAGTATGCAGGTATTAAAAACAATGTAGATATATATCCATTAACATGGATGTATGTTCATGACATGTTATTCAGTAAAAAGGGCAGCTTTCGAGATAATATTTTGAATACAATCATGTTTGGGTGGATGAAAACCAAATGTTATTGGTGCCTATCTCCAAGTGATGATTTTTTCTTCTTCTGACTTACCTGTGTTTTCTAATTTTTCTATCATGAGCATATATGATGTGTATGATTTTTTAAATGCTTAAAAGCATTTTCTTACTAGCTTGAATAGGAAGCGTACGGTGGGAAATGAGGCTTTTAGTCAGCGGCTTCCTCCAGGTGGCAGCCCCAGGGCCCTTCGGGAAGCCCCTCTGAGAGGACCCCGGGAGCCTAGTTTAGCCCTCGTGCAACTGTCAGTTTGAAACGTGAGTTGGCTCACGGGAGGTTCCATGTGTGTCCCCAGTCCCTGCTGTCCCAAGCCCTTGGTTTCCCGTGGGGGCTCGGGTACCTGTGGGGGCGGGAGCCCCCCGGCGCCCTCGGGGCACTCGGGCAGCATGGTGAGCTTCTCTCTGGTGCTGCACCTGCAGGACGGTGAAGGGTCGTCTGGCGTCCATTGCTGCTTCTGCAACAGGTGGGTGACGTTTGGGGACACAGAAGGAGTCTTCCAGGGGGTGGCATTGCCACAGGGGTACTCCCTCAGGGAAGATAAGAAAATATTACACAATCAGTTCCAAATTTGATATAAAAAAAAACCCTAGAAATGAGAAATCGTGCCCAACGCTCTCCTTCTCCACCTATCCTCCTCTTCTTCCTCAGACCCACATACTTTTTCCTTATACTCTTGGAGGTTAGTTTCTGCTCCAGAAATATCAAATCTAGGATTTTGTTGATTGGGTGTGGGGCTGGGGAATAATTATCTAGCGTGTGGACTATTTTATTTCCCATTTTTTTCTTCTAGCAGCTCTAGTTGTTGACGAGTAGAATAAAAGAAGAATTCGAAATTAGTCTATTTTGGTCCTCATCCATGGCTTTGAAAAAGATTGGACAAGAGCAGTTAAAACACATTGAACGCCGAGGATTCCTGGCGTATTTCCGCTGCCCTCTACACCTTGTGCACTGGCACACGCTCCCCCGGAGGCAGCGAAAGGCCCTGCACACAGCGCGGAGGAGAGGCTGCGTGGGCGCTGGTCGGAGATACGGAAGCGACCCGGGAAACACAGAGCAGGACTGACAGGGGCCGCTCCAACCCTGCCACGCTGGACCCCACCACTGGGGTCTCCCAGCAGAGCTAGTGGTGTGAGGGCAGGAGCGCGCAGGGACTTACGGAAGCCACTCTCCCTTCAGGCAGCGGTTGCCGAAGCCTGGCTTGTTCAGAAGGACGTCTGCAAGTACTGCCAGCCGCTCACTGCCCGGCTCGTCCATGCTGAACAGAGTGAGACACAGGACCGGGACAGAGCAGACAAAAGCAGCCAAAGCCTTAGTTGAATGGCTACACATGCCAGGCATGTGTTCAAGGCACTGGCCGCAGCCTTGGAGTGGTTATAGGTCTCCTGGGAGTGGGGTAGGTTTCCTGAACACAGCCAGCATTCTGACGGCTTCATCATCTATGCCTCAGAAAGATGGAGCTTCAATCCACTTGCCCAAGCATTGCATTCTCCTACCCCTCCTCCCAAGAAGTCCTGCCTGTCCACTTGGGATCACCTTTCCAGGTAGTGACAGGTACATTAACTTCCCTTCTGAGGGCAGCCCGTGGACCCCTTCCATGTTGGTGAAGGTCCCAGAGAAGTGGGAAGGGGCCCTTCCAAGCAGCATGTGACCTAGGAGCCCACACCCATGGAGGAGGATGGTGGCCCCGGGGGTCTGCGTACCTGAAGAAAGTGTACTGCTGCCCGTACATCCAGGGGTGAAGGGTCAGGGCAGGATATTCACCAAAAGGAGGGACAATGATGGAGAGCATCAGAGCCAGAAATACGAAGGCGGCTGGGAGCACTATCTGTGGAGAATAGATGCGGAAACGTGGGCCGCGACATGTGGGATGTTACGCACACACTCACATATACACTCACACACACTCTCACACACTCACACACACGCGCATTCTTTTAGACGTTTATCCTGTGCCTCCTAATCGAGCCCCGGTGGAGAGAAAGGTCAGGCTTCTGGGGAACATCACAGGCAGGGCGTGCAAAGGCAAGACTGGAGAGGAAAACAGAATGTTCTGGTAGCCGCTGGGGAATCTGAACGTAGGCCAATGTTCAGCCAGATGGTAAAGGGCAGTTCAAAGAGCAAGTCACATTGCTCACTGCTCTCTCTGAACCAGAGTTTCTTTTTCTAAATAAAGAAACATTAAAAGGAAAAGAGAGGGCGATGACCTTGATACATAGGGTCCAATTGCCAAAATGAACGAGAGCATGACTCTCCCCTTCACTGTAAAAACAAAAACAACATTAACATATTCACTATTATTCTATTTTCTTTGCTAAGTGAGGCCCAATTTACAAAGAAGGTTTGTGTGACCAAGAATCAAAATAAAGGGTTGGCAAGGAGGAAACAGAGCAGACAGAATCTAAACAGGGTGCTCACAGCTGTGGTTGGTTTGTTTGTCTGTTTGCTGGTTTGTGTTTGAGACAGAGTGTCGCTCTGCAGCCCAGGCTAGAGTGCCTTAGCGTCAGCCTAGCTCACAGCAACCTCAAACTCCTAGGCTCAAGCAATTCTCCTGCCTCAGCCTCCCGAGTAGCTGGGACTACAGGTGCACACCACCACACAGGGCTAATTTTTTCTATTTTTAGTAGAGATGGAGTCTTGCTCTTGCTCAGGCTTTTCTCCAACTCCTGAGCTCAAGCTATCCTCCTGCCTTGGCCTCCCAGAGTGCTAGGATTACAGGCGTGAGCCACCGCGCCTGGCCATGGCTGTGTTTGAACCCCTGCATGCGGGAAGACTCAGGACGGGGGTAAACACCAGGAGGGGACACACACGCTGGGACATGTGACTGAGCATGACCCAAGCCCACTGGCAATGATACCTGGGCCAGGAAGTCCTTGCGGCTGCGGACGGCATGGTGGAATCGCTTGACCAGCAGTGCCTGCACGTGCTGCAGGACGAGCCGTGCCCCCACGTTGAGCTGGGTGCCGGGGTCTGCGGGTGGGGAGGGCTGGCCCTCGGGCTGAGCAGTGGGCGCTGGGCCATGGACGTTGGAGCCCTGGGGAATCTGTGCAGCCTTCTCTCCTGGGCCCAGACAGGGTTGTCGGAGGCTGGCGTTTTCCCATCTCTGCTGTGTACCACCTGGGTTGGGAGAATGAATTAATAATTTGGAAAAACACCCATAAGGTCCGGATCTCTCATGCCACTTTTTCTTACAGCATTGGATTCCCCTTCATTTAAGTCAGCAACAAAATACCAGTCCTGATAGGTTGATAATCTTTGTAAAAATCTATTTTTCCATATAATTATCTATAGATAGAGTCACCAGAAATCACATAAAAATTCTCTGTTAGCGTTCACGAGAACAACGTAGCTCTAAACACATTGTCACTGAGAGAGGTCTGAAATATGTAACCCAGGAGAAAAGCACTAAGGTGCAGAACATACATGTAATAAGGTCACATTTATGTTAGAAAGTTCACATATCACACACAAAGAATGCCCACCACTGTGGACAGAGGTCGCCCCTGGCAGGGCAGAGTTGGACAGGGAAGGGGATGAAGTAGGACGGGAGACTGCAGCCTTTTGTGTATTATTGGTTGAACTTTTAAACAAGATATCTTCCCTTATTACCTGTGTACTTAAAGAAATTAATAATCAGAGCCAGCTTGGTTCTTTCTGAATTCTTAGAGGACACTGAAAAGCGGCAGAGACTAATGAATCAGAAATTAGGGGGCTGGGGTTTGAATCCTGATTCTTACAAGATGCATCAACCTGTCTGAGTCTGAGCTTTCTCAACTGTAAAGTGAAAATGAGAGCATTTCACAGAATTGTTTTGAAGATGAAACGAGATAACACAGGGGAACATGCCATATAAACCACTGCGAGTTGTCAGTTGTGCTGAAGCCATAGTTTGCAGAACAGCTCGTGGTGGACAGGAGAGGCTAGGGGACCACAGCTGCTTTCTTAACCCTCCTCAAGTCCCAAGACTAGGGCAGCTATAAATGGAGTTGGGTCAGCTCCTCTCCCTTTCAACTAACATTCATGCACACCTACGATGTGCCAGGTGTGGGAAGCAGAGGCTCTGGTGACAGGTAGCTCCAGCTCCTGTTCTCAGAGGGCTGAAGTCCTAAAGATTCACTGACTGCTTGGTGCCAGAGTCCCAGTTCTCCAGCCTTCTTTTCCTGATCTGCTGTGGCCAGCCCTCCCTCTGCTGGGATCCCTGCCGCCTCTCCTTTTTGCAGGCTGACTTCATCTCAAACTTCCGGGCTCTGCTCTCTGACGGCCCCATCCAAATGGAGCCCACTGACCCGGCCAGAGCCGAGGGCCCCAGGCCACTTCAGCATCACCAGTCTGGCCCTGGCTTTCTGTGGCTGTCTAGTGGTCACTGGCTGTGAGCCACCCCTTCAGAAGTGGCACTGACCCCTCTTGGTGCCTTGCAATGTGTGACCCCAATGGACAGCTACAGGTTCCTTCAAACTTTGGAGACAAGATCAGAAAATGTCATCCTCTAAAACTGAGCTAACTCAAAAATGTATTTAGCCATCTGAAAAGCGGGAGTTAGTAAGAATATGGAATCGAGGATCCTAGATTTGAGAGCTAAACCAGAGAGTAAGACCGGGAAGCCTGTGTGGCTTTAAGCAAGTCATCCAACCTCTGTGAGCTCAGTTTCCCCAAGATGGGGCAGATCCCTGCCCTGCCTGCCTCATGAGATTACGGTGACAATCAAATAAGACAATGGATGTTAAGTGCTTTGTAAAGTGTAAAGGGCTACACAAGTTTGAGGGAAGAGATGGTTTGCAAATGTGGAGATTAGAGTGTCGCTAAGTCTTAATCAGGGATCATGTACTGTGTTCTGACTTGGCATGCATCAACTCATTTAATTCTCTCAGCAACTCTAAAGGTAGATGCTATTATTATCACCATTTTGCAGATGGGGAAACTGAGGTATAAAGAGGCTAAGTACTTACCTAAAGCCACTCAGTTAGCAAATTGTGAAGCTAAGGCTTGATGTTTGGTCTGCCTCACTCCAGAGCTTACACTCTTAACCTCTACCCTTGACTGTCCCTTGGGAACATGCTATTCTCTGTCCATGCTGCCCAGTCTTCTGATGTGTAATGTATTCTCCCGAGAGGACCTAATTATTAAGAAGGCATATTCTGTGCAGATAAAGGCCTAACTCTTGAATCCAGCATAATTTCTGATATAAATTAGTATATTGTCATTCCGGTCTTAGTTAATGTAAGTCTTTGGCTTTGGGTGAACTGAGAGAATTCAACTTCTGTCTCTGCAAAGCTCATAAGAAAACTTGGGCCCTGCAGTGAGCTGCTCCCACCCCTCCCGAGGACTGCTCCCCACCTCACCCCCACCTGTGTGGATAATCCCTCTTTTGGCCACCACATAATCTCCCTGGATGGGCTGGAGCTCATCTGGGCTGGTATATTTGACCAGTGGTACTCCTGGGCATAGCCGATAAACGTTTGGGATCACTTATGAAACAACGTGAAAACTAAATTATCTCAAGAGATAATACCAGAATTCGCACAGGGAGAAAACACTCTTTGCACAGGAAAATGCCAGGATATGCCACACTGGGTAGAAGGAGGCAGCCCGTGGCTTAGGTGGTGTCAGGAGCCTAAGGAGCAAAGGAGAACTGCTGCACAGCTTTGCCTGTGGCCAGAAGGGTTTCACTGCAGTGGGTGCCTCTTGTTCTATCGGCCGTGGTTTGTGCTGTGGCAGGTCACCCCTCCTGCACTTCCATCTCCCCAGCCTCCACCCTCTGTAGTCTAGCCTACTACACTCACGGATGCGTAGCTGTGGGTTTGCGTGGTTGTGGGTTTTGGTAAAAAAAAAAAAATCATGGAAGGGGCAGGTTGGTGCCTAGGCTGACACGTGTGGAAGAGAGATTCCCAGAATCCACAGGAATGTTGGTCCCCATAGTTTCACAGTCCACAGGCCACTAAATGAGGGCTCAGAATGATTTTATCTTGATCTCTAAAGGGCCAGAAGACTCTAGCAGCTGGCATCTGGGTTGTGTTTGCTGTCTTCATTATCACTAAGGACTCTGCCAGCTGCCACTCACGCAGACAGAAACAGATCAGAGGCCTGGTGGAGATGGGGGGATGGTGGAGATGAGGATAACACCGTGGCAGGAACAAGCAACTGGGGATGTAGGGTGAGAAGTTCGAGGATGAAGCTCCCACCCTGACCTCCATAAGAATCCTGATTCATCCAGAGTGTTCCCGCCCAGATCTGACTTGGTCTGTTAGTCCTTCATCATTCAAAGGCAGCAAGAATACAAAATACCTATTATTTGGGGGTCAGATACTATGGAGGAGTATTTGCCAGCATTGTTATTTTGTGACTTTTTCCTTAGCCTTTCAAGATAGATCTGGGGCAATGGGTTGGGGGTGGGGAGCCACACACTCCAGCACCATACCAGCAAACAGAGTTCCTGAGTCAGAATCCTGCGTGACCTTCAGAAAAATCTGTCAAGAAGACAAAAAGAGAGAGTTTGGTTTAGGCACTCCCAGTCTCAGAGAAATCTAAGCTGAGCTCCATTTTGTTAGGTATTGCTTCATAATGGAAAGAAAATCTATTGTGACTCTTTATGTAAGAACATTGTCTTCTATAAATACGAAAGTAAGCACATGATGACCACAATTGCGTAAAATATGTATGCATATGAACAAAGGCAGGAGGAAGTAAGCCAAAAATGAAGATAGGTGCTATGCTTGGGTGGGGAATTATGCTTTCTGCTTTTACAAATCTTTGCTCTAAGGTTAGACTTTTGCAAAGAACCGCCTCTTCTGGCACCTGACAGAAACCAACTGGAACCTCTGCTTTACCTCTTCCAGGGGAGTGTCAGAAATTCCAAAACTGCTGAGCCCCAGATCAGCCAGCGTCTCCTCCAGCTCTCTGAAAAGGCTGGCATATGCTCTCTGCTTGAAGTTCTTATTTGGGAGAAGAAAGATAAGTTCTTGACCAATGCATTCCACCAGCTTTGCCTCTGGAACGTGGTGGAGGACCACATCCATCAGCTCATTCACATCCCCTAGGACAAGAAAAAAGATGGATGCCAACTTTATTTTCCAGAACCTGGAAGATTGTGAGATTGCCCAGGTTTCCACTTTCTTCCATCTCTCATTTGAGTAACTGTTACTCAGTAGCGACTCTTTCGGAGGACTGAAACTCTGTTAAGTGTGTTTTTCGCAGGTTTGGCCCCGTGATGGCCGCTGACAGGTAGAAAGAGATGGCAGCAAGAGGGCTCCACACTAGCTAGCTGTGTACCCTTGGGGGCGCCGTTTCCTCCTTTGTTCAATCAAATGTTCTGAACATATTTCTCCTTAGGCTATGCTACATTGGGCAGGTCATACCTGAGTTTCCTCATCTGTGAAAAGGGGAAAATAATAGTACCCACTTTGTTGTTGTTTGTGAGGATGGGGTGAGTTACACACACAAAGCGCTTAGAGCGGAGCCTGGCACATGGGTGAGTGTTAGCTGCTATTGTTATCATGAACGTTATCTCAGGTAAGAAAGCTCTTCATCGTTCTTGTGGCTCTGTGTCATTCACCGCAAACTTAAGGGTTCAGTCAAAGTTGTTTTCATGTTCCTGGCCCAAGCTAGGGAGGACCTGCCCAAGACACTGATCTGGTACTGGCGCTCAAGCTGCGAGAAGTCCCTGTCCTGAAATCACACTCCCATGCCCGGCCTAACTTCTCGAAGGACTGCAACATTTCCCTTGGGATTGCACCTGCCTCCCTGAACAAAACAAAACTTGATTCTCAGCTCACAGGAAGTGCAGAAGGGGGTCACGAAGCCATGGAGAGAGGCTGGGGGAAGGGCGGGGGCGCGATGGCGTGTAACGTGGAGCATGAGCACTAACAATGGTTTACCTGCTACACTCACACGGTCAGGATTGGATTGTAGGCACGAGCATGTATTACTTACAAACTAAAAATCTAACTCAAAAAACCTGGAAGCGTGCACTTGAAGAGACAGTTCCCTCACACGCTATGGTGAGAGGCAGGCCGGAGGGAAAGGCATTCCGGACATTCAGAACGTAAGTATCTGGAAAGCAGTTCTCTTAGAGAGAGTCAGGGTCACCCGCTTGGCTCTTTTTTTATTTTTAAAAAATGACCCATATGGAGAGATTTCAGGGCTTTCAACCAAAATCCTTCTGCTTAGCTGGATCGGAAGGTTTGTTTTACGTCAAATCTGCAAATTGGACTAGATTGTCTTTAGTGGTGGGATGACTTCATGCAGAGGCTGGAGAGTTCTCTGTGGGAGGGAGCAGCTCCGCCCTGATAGCTCTCCAGGGGTCGTGCTCATTGTTCTCTTAGGAAGGAAACTGAACCCGAAGTCCCTGGATTCCCAGGAATTGTGTCTTGGACGTGTGTCTTAGGCCAGCAGGGCGTTGGGCGTCCGGCAGGGAGGTCTGCGAGTGTGTGGTGCGTGACGTGTGCGAGCGAAAGCCTTCCACGGACCTCGCCGGGGCTGGAAACGACTCTCTCTCCCTTGTTTGGGGCATAACTACCCTCTGCGCTTCCCGCCATTCGCGGCACCCCTATTCTCTACAAGGAAAACATTTATTTAGCATTAAAGTAATGTTTTTCAAAAAAAACTACCACCCAGCCATGAAGGCCTTGTTTCCAACTTTATTTTGGTGAAACAGTAATTAAACATATTAGTATTAACTTTTTTAAAATGTCCATTTCTTGACCAAGATCCCTCCGGGGAGGAATCTTCAGAGAACAGGGAGAGACCCACAGCGAGGCAGGTAGGAAAAAGACACAGAAATGTCATCCTAAAAAGACGATTTCTGTTCCTCACGGGTCTGTCAGTACACAGAGAGGTGAGAGAGTGAGTGCCGAAGCAACTCTGGGCATTTCCCCTCAAGTTTTAGTCACAGAACATGAATATTGTCTAGTTTTCTTATTCCACCAGATTTCAGTTAGTAAATTCTTCATATTTAGAAAAAAGTGTGCAGGCCGGGCGTGGTGGCTCATGCCTGTAATCCTAGCTCTCTGGGAGGCCGAGGCGGGTGGATCACTCAAGGTCAGGAGTTTGAGACCAGCCTGAGCAAGAGTGAGACCCCCCCCCCCCCCGTCTCTACTAAAAATAGAAAGAAATTATCTGGACAGCTAAAAATATATATAGAAACAATTAGGCGGGCATGGTGGTGCATGCCTGTAGTCCCAGCTACTCGGGAGGCTGAGGCAGTAGGATTGCTTGAGTCCAGGAGTTTGAGGTTGCTGTGAGCTAGGATGACGCCACGGCACTCTAGCCCGGGCAACAGAGCCAGACTCTGTCTCAAAAAAAAAAAAAAGTGTGTAAATAGAAATCTTTTTTTTTTTTGATAAGCAGAAACCTTTCTCTGCTTCATTAACCTGGGTTAGTACATAAGTTTAGCTTTGCTACTGTGTAAGAAATTGTTTCTATAGGATAGCCTTTCTACCTCATCTCCCTGGAGGTGGGGGTACCTCTGAGAGCTTAAGTGTACCCTAACTCAAGGGAGAACCACTGGAAAATTGGGAAGCTGAGGGGAGAGTCGGGAGTGTAACAGAGTGTGTGATATTACCAGACTTGCTGTCCACGCATGCTATCTCTGACTCTCTCCAAAAGTTTGCTGTAAGACCTGTGCATAACCATGGTCCCATTAGAGGGCGCCATTGCACGCATTTAGTGTGTCTCCAGACACTAAGGTCTCCTGGAGCCAGAGCAAGACCCAGGAATGGAGGCTTAATAAGGGTAAGGACGCAGAGTGAACAAAGACTGGATTTCTCATTAAAGGAAGGGGGCCCTTAGATGCATGATTTTGAAAATCCCTTAGGAATGGAGGAAGGAGGAAGAAGAGAAAGCGCTCAAAGAAAAAGATGAACAATCCATGACCTTGGGTCTAAGAAGTACACAGTGTTCTCCTTGCTCCCATTAAAAAGCATCACAACAGAACACACCCCATGATACTGGGAGATGGTCACCAGACAAGAACCGGGATATAGCCTGCCCCAGTCCTTACCGTCCAAGACTTGTTCTGGAGTTACATCATTGACACAGGCTGGACAACTGCTGGAGAGACCCTTAGACGCACAGCTGCAGGTCCCCTACAACAGACGGACAGCAATGACTGACAAGATGCACATCCCTTCACGGACAACATCTCCCTGATGCTGACTGCCGTCATGCCTGCTTTCTTCGTTTCTCACTGCCAAGTGTGGTCAACACGTGTTTTTCTTCACTGTTTAATCTATTAATTCATCTGAGCGTTTTGAGGGTGTAGCTGCTTGATTTTATCCTGGAGAGTGTGTGAGTCAGGCACACAGAGAAGCAGCACCTCAAAGGCTCCCTGTGACTTGTCATTAATTATGTGGCAGCTGCAGGTTCTGCTTGTACAAGACATTTTGCTCGTCCCTCCCTGCGCTGCACACTGGGCTATGGAAACCTGCCCAGGACAGGAAAACCCAGCAGCAGCTGGACACTTAAACTAGAGGCATAAATGATGCTGTAATATAAGAATCGTGACAATTTTGAATGTGAGCAATGCCTGTTTCCAAGGAACCCAGAGAATATTTAGAATATTTTATCTCATTTATCTTTATATCCCTAAGAAGCAGAAGCAGAGGTCATTAGTTTCATTTTCCATGTGGAGAAAAAAGAACAATGAGGAATTAAGTAATTTGCCTAGGTAGGATTACACAGTTTGTCCCGTTTGCAGCCCAGACCTAAACCTAGTTCTCTTGACATGCTGAAGTTTCTCTGCTGGTTGGTATTTTTTGGGTTCATCATTTTTAGGTCATAGTTCCCAAGGAGGCCTTTTCTTAGCTTTAATTTACCACTGGAATTCAGGTTTAATTAGGGAACATGAACGTTGGAGTGAAAAAAAGGAAGCTTAAACAACTATTCTTCTAACAGTTTAACCTTGCAGAATAGACACTTGCTTCTGTGTTGCACCAAACCACATGTGAAGTCTGGGAGACTGGTGTGTAATCTAGTGTGTAATATTTCAGGCCATTAAAACTGGTGTTTCATTTTGGGTAAAGCATTTGTAGGAGGAGAATGTGTTCAGAATGTGTTTATCGGAATCTCCTGCAAATGGTCCCAGAAACAAAGAAGCTGATTCTGATGGCTGGAGCTCAACTGGGCAGAAAGGTCCGGAGTGGGAGCCCGATGCTGCGGGCTCCTTCCCTGGGCAGACACATACCTCACAGCCTCTCCTTTGGCTCTGCATGTTTTTCATCTTGCGCACCAAGGTTAGGTAAAAGCCCGTGCCAAAACAGTTCTTCAGGAAGAGTGGGGTGCCCGAGCAGTAGAGCCTTCCCTGAGAGATGATGGCAATGCGGTCCCCGAGGAGGTCGGCCTCGTCCATGTGGTGAGTGGACATGATAATGGTTCTACCTGCAAGGGCAGGGGTTAGGGAGTCACCAGGCAGACCCTAGTTGGTAGAGGATGTACAGCAACCTCCTGGTCATATGGCTGGAAAAACTGGGAGTTAAAAAAAGGTGGGGGGGGAGGCTAATTCTGCAGCAAATCCCAGGATATTAGGATAATAATAACAACAACAACTAACATTTCATAGCATCCTACATACTGCAGAGCACTGTCACAGGCAGTATCTCTTCATCTGGTACAGGCTCTCAGACAAATCGCTGTATACGGGACTCGTTTGTTACTGTTCGTCAGCATCACTGAGTTCTGCGTGTACCTTCTCTGGATCATTAGGCTCTGCATTTATAACCTTTGTAAAGATCTGTCTCTCTCTCTCTCTAACTGGGGACGTCATTAAAAGAAAACAGGACTGAGGATTCTAGGATGGCAAGCCTTCAGGGAGGGCACGGGGAAATACTGTGTGACTAGAATAAGGGGAAGCTCTGGTTTGACCACAGGGTTGAACCACACTGCCACTTCTGTGGGTACTCAGCTCTGCCTGCTGTGTCTTCTGAATCTGAGCCCTTTGTCTGAAAGATGCTGTGACAGAGACGGACAGCCCCACTTGGGGACCCTTCCATCTGCTGCAGTCCCCTGGAGCACTGGATGCCCGGCAGATCACCCTCACCCTCCCGAGTGGTCATCTGATGGCTGCGGAGCTTCTTAAGATGTTTGTAGGTGACCTGAATCCCCCCGATTAGAGGGGAATTTCACCTTGAATCACACTCATTATTCTAGACAGAGGGCTGCAGGTTGAGAGAACTTTCTAGAATATTTTGGGAAATAGGCTACCTCATCAGTGACTCCCTGTTTATATTTGTGTAAAAATCTCAGGAGGCTTTAACTGGAACATGAGTTCACCCAAGACACTGAAAAAGCCCATCTGAGTGTAGGTTCGGCAGTTATTGTACTCGATTGCCAGGTGTGAGAGAGTGGGAACCACAGGTACAGCCTCAGGGGGAGCCCAGGCCCTGAGCAGTGGCCATTACCTGAGCGATATTTCAGGAGCAGGTCCCAGATCGAGCGTCTTGAGTAGGGGTCCACCCCAGAGGTGGGCTCATCGAGAACAACCACCTTGGCATCTCCCACAAAGGCAATGGCGACAGATAGCTTCCTCTGCATGCCACCTAGAAGCACACGGAGGACGGGGTCATGAGGCCGTGGAGGCTGGGGAGGAGGAGGGCCCTGGGCTAGTGACGTAAGCACGTATCTTAAATCCAGCAGCAGTTTGATGCTGCCTCCTTAGCTGTTTATACGGTGTTCAAAGCCCTAGTGGTGTGCAGGCTTCGTAAACACAGAAGAGGCAACTCTTGCCTCCTGGGATCAGACCATTTGAAGACTGTTTTACGTGTTAGTTCAAACATGTAAACCTCAGAACAAATAAAGCCCAGGCTGCCATAAGACAGTGTTCCACGTGGGAAATGATCCAGAGATGGGTGCTCTTAGATGCTCAGAATAACTTCACAGAAGTTTTCTAGCTCTTAGGAGCTTTCCTGTCATAAACCTCCCCGGTGCACTGGGAACAATGACTGCCCTCTGTGACCCCATCTCTTTCCAACCCCGAGCACCTGATAGGTCCTGAGCTTCTTCATTCCTCTTGTGGTGGAGGCCCGTCTCCTCTAACATGGCCTCCATCTCCAGCTGGGCCTCCTCCCACGACCTGCCCTTCAGCTGGGCATAGAACAGGATGTGTTCGGCCACGGTGAGGCTGTGGGGATGGCACAGGGAGGAAAGCAATGAGCTCAGCAGTCCACTTTCTAGCGATTTATCTTACAGAGGTAATTAAAGATGAGTGCAAAGATGTGACAATCAAGATGTTCCTCAGGGTGTTGTTTATGATACAAAAACAGAATAAACGGACCCTGCCTAAACAACGAACGAGAGAGAATGGCTTAAATAGTTCACTCATACAACGGAATAGTATGTAAATGTTAAATGTTATAGAAGATCTGTAATGACATGAAAAGATGTTCATGATATCTTAGGTCTAAAAATAGCAATCACATTTTTTTTAAATGGCAGGTTACAAAATTGTAGGTATAGTTTTATTATCCTTTTTATTTTAAAGTGTATATCTCTATCTATACATACATAGGAGAAAGTTCTGAAATATTATATACCAAGATATTAACAGTGGTTATCTCTGCGTAGTAAAATCACAGGTGACTTTTATTTTCTTCTTTTTGTTTATCTATATTTCCTCCCCTCCTCCTTCCCTCCCTCCTTCCCTTCCCTTCCTTTCACAGTGTCTATATATAGTTTCTTAGATAAGAAATAAAATATGTATTAATTAGAAAAAAAGCAACTGAAAAGCTCCCTAAAAAGTTGGTCGTTAGTGCCATGGCTTAACAGGGGGACAGGAACAATGGTTCTCTCTCTGGTCCTGAGAGGAAAGACTTCAGGGCTGAGCAAGGGGCCCAGAGCTGGGCCACTTTGTCCGAGAGGAGATAGCATCATTCTTCTGAGGGGGGACCTCAGCTCCAAGCACCAGAGGCACCGTCCCGTGTTCTGCAGGTAGCACAAAGGAACTTCAACATGGGGGAGCCAAACAAGAGTATCATTGCCTGTGCCCAGGCCTAGCACCCTGAGCTGGGCTCTGGAGAAGCGTGTCAGGGAACAGAGGTGAGGGTAGGGGACGAGGAGGGTCTCAGTTCCTGTTTTACTTACTGGTGGAACAGGATGTTGTGCTGTGGACACATGCCAAGGCTCTGCCGGATTGCATCCAGGCTGGTTTCAATGTCCTTTCCCCCAATGAGCACAGTCCCGCATGTTGGCGGCAACAGACCCGTCAGGATGGACCTGTCGAACACAGGGGTCAGCGGCCCATAGGAATGTGCCTTGGGAGAGCAGCCCCCACGCCAGGGTCAGTGAGGACAATCTCAATGATTCCTACCCATGGCTGTGAGTCAAACCCAAACCATCATCAGCTGTGGGGACCAACGGTCTCCCATACAGGGCTCAGCCCCAGTGTGTACACCCTAGCCCTGATGTGGAGGCCTGCATCAGCCCTCCTTCTCTGCCTCTGCTTATTTCCTAGTGCTCCCAGGCAAGCACCAAGGGGCCTCTGGGATCCCAGCCTCAGAACATCCCCTTGCACACAGCCTGGTGCTAGAGGGGCTCAACGCTCTGCCTGCCCGGTGAGCAGACACAGTATTGAAAAGCCAGCATCACCGTTGCAGAGCCAGAGTAAGGTTTTGATGGTGGCGAGAAGCCCAAGCGTACCCAGGCACTCAGTGTGCATTTGCTGACTGATTGATTGAAGCCAAGTGCAAGGACTGCCAACGCTATCAGCTTTGGCACCAAGACATAAGAAGCCCAATAGCAGCGTTGGCTTTTTTTGGTAAAATGGGAAATATGACTCCTACCTCCTTGGGTTACTTTGAGGATCAAATGAGTTGTTACATGTAATGCACTTAGAACAGTGCCAGCATAAAGTAAAACTCAAAACTATTATTGCTATTATTATTAAACATTGTGTTTCAGCCCCGGGGGGTGGGGGACACTGTGTTCCGGTGGTGGGTGACGTCATGCGTTTGCGATCGTGCAGCTGGGATGCTGAGCGCGCTTCAGCTCCCTGACCACATCCGTTAACAAGGACAGAAATCAGAGGGATCCGGGCGCCACACCCAGCTCCGTCCCTGAATTCTGATACAATCTCAGCCTATCTGAACTTGTCTTTAGAAGCTGAAATCTCTGTTGATCAACCACTAGAGGGAAACAGAACCAAATATAATGGCACCAGCCCCACATTCCATTCACACTGAACCGCCCTAGAGAACATTCCAGCGCAGGGTGTACACTCTGCTGTTCCTTCCTGGGGCTCTGCAAAAAGCCCAAGGACTTGAAGACTGTGTATCACATGGTTCACTGTCCCCTGAGAGTCTGCCTCAGCTGCTCCCTGGGAAAGCTTGGCGGGCCGTGTTCTCCTCTCAGCAGATGGCGCTCGGGGCCTTAGAGAAGCGTGGGGAGCCGCCTGAGCAGAGAGGTCCGCGTCATCCCTGACCGTGAACAGCCTTCAGTTGCCAGGCTGTTACCCGACACGCCCCTCTAGAGACTGCATCCTTTTCACTTTCTCCAGAAGTCCTACCAACCCTCATCGGGGGCCCCATGCTGATGTGGAAGCCTGCGTAATAATTGGTAGGAGAAGGAATGCTCCTTGAGAACAAGGAGTTCTCTGTAGACGTCATGCATGTGATGACGGTGGCCATGACTTTCTCACCACCACGGATGGTAGTAACGCTGCAACACTTGAGCACGGGGAGGGAATCCAAGGGGTTAAAAGGAGGCAATTGTGGGGCATGGCTCTTGCCCCCACGGAACCATTACTAGGCAGTGTCCTCAGGAGACTCACTTCACCTCTGAATGTCCACTTCCCGGCACACAAAATGGGCGATAGACTTACTCCACCTCCCTCTTGGGCTTCTTGTGAAGATCGAATAAAGCAACATATGTGGGTGATCTTTGGATACTGCAGTATGCTTTACAAATTCTTGGGGCCACAAATACAGAGTTCATTTTGTCACTAAAATTCGAGGGAAAGAATAGACCACAGCTAATTGGGAAAGAATAAGCCACGAAGTGACAGGATCCCATGGCCACATAGCCTCTCAGCCAGAAGACTCACAAGGTGGTGGTTTTCCCTGCGCCATTGTGACCGAGGAACGCGGTGATCTGGTTCTCGTAGAAGGTGATGTTAAGACGGTCCACGGCTGGCCGGCCATAGGGCTCAAACATCTTTACCAGGTTCTTCACACATACCCCAGGAACCAGCCCTGGAAGCTCACGTTCAAAGAAGGAGTCTTGGAGGAAAAAAATGAACATGATGCAAATACGATGTCTTAATATACACAATTCCCAAGGTTCTTTCCTTAGATAATTGTCTTCTGCCTATACCTTCACCTGCCCCCAGGGCTTCAGCTATGACCTTTGTAAGAAAGACTACAGAATAATAACGGTTATAATAATGTGGGACATTTATTTAACACTTACTATGTGCCAGGCACTGCTTCAACTGCTTTACATGAATCACCTCACTACACCCTATGGGGTAGATATTATTAAGCTCATTTCCACAGCAGAGGAAACCTAAGGCACAGAGACACCAAGTGTCCTGCCAAGGTCACACAGCTCATGAGTGGCAGGTTGAGATTTGAACCCAGAGCCCATACTTGTCATAGTGCACTTGTGGTCTACAGGGAGAGTTAGCCTGATGTCTAATCCTAGTCCCAGGCCCTTCTTTCCTGCAGTCTGCAGGGCGTTTCCTCATGCATTTCTGGGGGCAGCGCGGGCTCCTCATCTTCTTCCCCAAACATCTTCCTTAGACTCTCCCATGTCCTTTCCTGGAACCACCATTCTCCTAGTCACCTTGGCTTGCATCTTTGAGTCCACTCAGACTAAAGCTTCTTGCTTCTCAGAGCTCCAGAGTTTTCCAGTGAGCTGGGTAGGACAGTCCACTTCTCCTCATCACTGTCCCTCAACCCCCCTTTTTCCTCCCACACCCCCTCCAGTATAGACCCTCATGGTGTGGTCTCACCTCTCCCTGACCTCCAGTCTCTCCCTGCTTCAGTTCACCCTGTATGGCACAACTTAATTTGTTGTCTTGACATTGTAGCTCTAAGCATTTTCTCCCCTAGGGGGGAAAATCCCATTGCTGTGCCTCTTGGCCTGGCCTGTAACTGAGATGGAACCAGTCCCCAGTCCCTAGTCCCCTCATTTCAGCCTTGTCATTCCACCCTGGGAGGAGGGTCTTCCCAGAGGCACTGCTGACTGCAGTCTAACTCTGTGAGGAGCTGCGGGTCTGATCTCGGCCTTGTGAGACGGCACCCGGGGCGGCCGGACCCTCTCACGCAATGTCACGCGGAGTCCAGAGGCTGTGCTGCCTCTCTAAACCCAGAGCATTTTAACATCTGCAGAGGAATGTGTACACTTAGGGAATGAAAAACTTTGGGAGAAATATAGAACTGATTCAAGAGAGAAGGTAAGGGCTGCAAAAGCCAGGGAAATGACACTTGTAAACCTAGCCCACCAGTTCAGGAATTATTAGGTAACTTCCACTGTCAGGAAAGGCTTTTGATGGCTTGAATGAATGGGCTTCTACCACGAGTGTAGTGTGGTCAGTACCACTAGACTCTCTTTCCCTTGTACACAGAAGCATTTATTTTTGTCTTTCCTTATAGCTCATATCCTCTCTAAGTCCCAGTGACCCAAGTTATTGTTCTCACTAAATCCTCGGAAGTCAGCACATTTGTGCAACTCACTTGGGATTTGCCTAACAAGGGCACAAATACGCTACATACTTGGGATTTGCTTTCTCCAGGAAATATGTGCTAATGTCTGGGCTGGACCATTCATTCTGCACATGTGCAGCTGGACCCCTGGGAAGGGATCAGGTTTAACACTTGTCAACAGAGAGTCAGTGTCCTGGGCTTCATTTCGCCCTGGTCAGGAGGTGTTTTGCTCTGGCCTTTGCAGCATTCAGAGCCTTTTCCTTGCCTCTGCTACATGTTCTTTTATTGGGTTTTACCACGCATTCCTTCTGGGTGTTCTGGATCCTCCATTTCCTCTGTTATGGGTTCAGTCTTCTCCAGGGCTCTTTCTTCTCTGGTAGAACACCCTGAACAAACCAGAAGCCAGTGTCACTCTCCTGGTGAGAGCTGAGAATCAGTAAAGACAGGAACGGGTGGGGAGGAGTGGGGGGAGCGAGCGGGTTCCCTGACACAGCAGGAAGACACAGGTCCCTCAAAAGGCCAGGTCAGCAGTCCCCCGTGAGACCCGTGTCTCCGTGAGGCATAGTCCCTGACCTGCTGGGGGCTGGGAAGTACTCAAGCCTGATTGTGCAATCTTTGCTAAGTCCAGAGAGAGTTTTGTAACAGGAGCTTCACATTCAGAGAGTTTCGTCTCAACCTCGTAATGCACCAGGAGGTCCGCACAATGTCAGAAATTGTGATTTTTTTTAAAAAAATAAGAAAACCAGGATTGAATTTGAAACAGGTTAATTTTCTCAGCCCACCACTGGTACTTTTCACTCCAGTCCAAAACAGGTCAAAGTCATGGTGAGCTGAGTAGAAGACCATTCCAGGTGATGTGACAGCAGCCAGCTTAGATTACAGCATGCGAAATGGCTCACCTGAGAAATGCCGCCACGTGGGCATCCACGCTTCATGGGATTAACACCAGGGCTGTTCCTGGCGGAGTGCAGGCCTGGACTAATTGTGAAGTGTGATACAAATGCACCACACACACACACACACACACACACACACACACACACATGGACATGTTTGTAAACCTGGCATTTGGTTTAAAAGGACATCGGGACATCCTGGATGGAGAAGGGAAGCATCCAGGATGCCTCTGGGGCAGTCCAGCAGAGGACAGTGGGGGCAGGAGGGAATCACCACACCAAGCATCCAAGGGCTCTCCGCCTCAAGTGCACGTTCATGGGCAGGGAGAGTTTTCTTAATGCAGCCGCCACCTGGGGCCTCTCTGTCCACGTGCCCTCTTATAGATTTGTGGGATATTTGGTGGAACAGCAGGTAACGGGCCTGGTGTCAGGGATGTGCCACCTCCAGTTCTGTACTTCTATTTCTGCTTCCCGAAGGGGTTTGAATCTATTCCCCACAATCCCTTCGATCACTTTGCTGCTATCAAACTGCACAGATGTGTAACGACACAGCAAGGGGAAACATCCTTCTAAATTGTTCAGTTATTGGAGTGAGTTCTTCCACAGGAGATCTCTGTTTGAGTTCCAGATTTTGTCCCAAGTGACCAATGGAAACTTGGGCAAGATACTGAATGTCTCTTGGGTGGCTTTTTTTTAAATCTGTGAAGGAGGAGAGTTAGGTGAAGAAACTCAGTTCTTTTCTGATTTTAGAGAGTTTTAGGAATCTATTTCAGTCTAGCCTATGAGATGGGTAAAAAATATTTGGCTTCTGTCGGCAAAAATATGTGATTTACTTTTGAAGGAGCATGTTTGTCTCAGGCTTTTTTTGTTTTGTTTTGTTTCTTGAGAAGCCCAGTATCTGCTGGCATTGTAGAGGGTAAAAAAATTGCCCACAAGCCCTGATATTCATTGACATTAAAAACATTCCAGGGACACATTCTTGTGTTGAAAATTTCCATTTCTGATGGGATTATAACTTTATTATAGTAAAAATTTAAAAGTTTACAGACAGGCAAGATGGACAAACAAATATAATGAAAAAATACTGAGCTATCAAAGTGCTGTTTGTTTGACCTATTAAAAACAAAGCAAAAGAAAAAACCTAAGGAAACCTGCCCAAGTCTTTTAAAGGCCGTAGACTAATCCCCTAGAGAAAACAAACATCTCTCTCAGTGCTAAAAGGATAAATCCTGGCCTAGGCCCAATAATACAAAGGAAAGAACAGCTAGGTGAGCAGCAAACAGACTGGGAAGTATTTCCTTTGCTTCCAGAACCTCCCAGCTCTAGGGGAGTCCCCTGCTCAGAGCTCTGGAATGTCTCTGCTTTCCCAGACCTCACAAAAGGGGCTGTGCTTTACCCCACTTCTAGAACTTCCTCTAGGCCTCCTGATTTGTTCAGTAGGAAAGGTAAATTTTACGTAAGATGCATCGTGGGCAAATGCCTGTTTAACCTTCTTCCTCAACCGCCAGAAACAGCAACACCAGGAGAGCCTGAGAGTGTTTGCTTTGAAGGTCACAGAAGCCTCAGCTTCTGGAGGAGTCCTCATTTTGGGAAAATGAATTAATCTGCATTTTGAAAAGGTGGAGAGAAATAAAAAGGCAGGAGGAGGCAGCAGAAGACGAATATAAAGGTTCCTTCATGATTCCCTGGATCTCTGTTTTAAACTGAAAAGTTGCAAATGTCATTTGAACCCTGAAGTGGTTTGGCCTTCTTTTGATAGGGCAATTTAATCCACTGGGACAAGCTGTACAGGACACAAGGGTTTATCAATTCTCAGCCATTCACTTGGGTCCAGAAACTCATGAAAGGTGGGCTCCTAGAGGCTATAATGCTGTATTGGGGTGGCAGAGCCCCCAAGGAGGTAGCTGACTTATCAGGAATCACACCGTGATGTAAAGGGCCACCTCTGCACCCCACACATTTCCCGCACATAGCCCAAGGAGCTAGGTTCAAACATCAAGGTTTTTGTTTTAATTTTAAAATAACTCACCTTCACCACCAAGCCAGTACGACTCTTGTAGAAGGAAGTACCAAGGAAGTGGGGTTCCATAGTCCCCTAAAAATAGAGAGACAAATAAAGAGAAAAAGCCTACGTTGTCTCTTTATCCCACCTTACCACAGTCCTATAAGATCCAGAATTTACCTATCAGAGCCTCGAATTCAAACTACAGATATGTATAGTTCACAAACCATCACGTGGCTACTTGCAAGCTAATATAAAGACTTCTTCTACCAACGTGTTTTAAGCCAAAAGATCATGTTTTGGGGTGTTGTCAGTAATAGTAAGATGATGATCTTGGTTACATTAGTTTTCCAAGAAAACATTTCATTAAAGAATTAAATCATGTCCTTTTACAGGAGTTACCAGATAATAATGATGATAATCACTAACATCTGTTGAATGCTCTTTCTGTGTCAGGCATTGTTATAAGTGCTTTCCATGTGTTGAATAATTTCATCCTCAAGACAACCCTAGGAGATAGGTAATAGGAATAGTATTCTTGCAGATAAGGAAACTGAGGCACACTGAGCTTAAGCCATCTGCGCTGGTCACAGCTAATTAAATAGAAATGCAGGAATTCCAACACAGGTGATCTGGTTCTAATACCACTGTTCTTAACCCGTCCCCTCCCCTCCATTCTACTGGATTCATCTGGGTTTCAAGAAAAAGATTCCCAAATTTCTCATCCAGTTCTCTTTGCAAGTTTTGCTGCCTGCAAAATGAGGATTTTGTAACAACACTGTCTTTGCTTTTTCAATAGTTATCATGTTTCATGACCTTTGTCACCACTCGACTGCAAATTCCTCAGGGCAGGCCTGGATCTATCTTTTCCACCCCTTCATTCCAGGACCTGGCCCTGCTGTGCCTCACACACAGGTGCTGCTCAGTGACGAGTTGTTGAATAAAGGAAAGCTTTAGCTTGGCTAAAGTAAAGCTTTAGAATTATGCACAAATTTCAACTTCAGTTCAACTATTTTTCACCTATTATATCTCTTTCCCAAGGCCTAGTGAGATAGAAAAAACAGACTGAGCAAATTCAAGTGTCTTGCTCAAAGTCACCATCATGGGTTGAATTGTGTTTCCCTCCAAAAAGAGGTATTGAGGTCTGTGATATAATACAAAGTATACTTGGTCTTTGTCCCCAGTTTCTCTGCAGGGCATAGATCTCCTAAAACCCTTGGAATTTCCTGAGTGATAGGAGTGTCTTTTGGTATTCATAATGAGCCCTTTTCTCCACCACACCTGAGTTAAAGCTGATGTGACACAGGATGGGGGACTGGTCATCAGAAGGACCAAACATGTGAAGAGAGGAACTTTCAGCACCAAACCCCAACCTTCAAGGAGAGGAGAGGGGTGGAGACTGGGTTATAAAAACTCTTGACCGGCAAGATTCAGTGAGCTCTGGGCAGCTGATCACTTTGAGGTGCCAGGAGGGTGGTGTGCCCAGAGAGGGCGTGGAAGCTCCAGGCCACTGCCACCCCATACCTTGTCCTGTGCATCTCTTCCGTTTGGCTCTTCCTGACTTGTATCCTTTCATATAAAGCTGTGATTTTAAGTGGAGCACTTTGGCAAAAGTGTGGGTAGCCTGGGCACCACATTTGCAGCTGGCGCTGAAGTGGGCGCAGTCTTGTGGGAATGAACCTTGTGGAGTCTGTGCTAATTCTGGACAGCTAGTGTCAGAATTGAACTGAATTGTTGGACACCTAGTTGGTATCGGAGAATTGGCTGATGTCAGAAAAAAAAAAACCATGCATTTGATGTCAAAAATGGTTCAGGAAAAAAAAACAGAGTCCTAACCCCAGGGACCTCAGAATGTGGTGTTGTTTGGAAATAGGGTCATTGCAGATGTGGTTAATTAAGTTGAGATGAGGTCACACTGGAGTAGGGTGGGCCCCTGATCCAATGTGACTGGTGTCCTTATAAGAAGACGGCCATGTAAAACAGACAGACAGACACAGGGAGAACGCCATGTGAAGACAGAGGACTGGAGCGATGCGCCTACAAGCCAAGGAATACCAGGTCACCAAAAACCACCAGAAGCTAGGATGGAGCCAGGAAGGATCCTTCCCCTTCAGGTCTTAGAGGAGCATGGCCCTGCCAACACCTTGATTTTGGACATCCAGTTTTCAGAACTGTGAGGTATAAATTTCTGTTTTTTCAAGCCACCCAGTTTGTGGTACTTAGTTAAGGCAGCCTTAGCAAATTGATACACTCATGCAGCTAGGAGCCAAACCTACACCCCATGACTCTGCCTAGAGATCGTTCTCCTGTTCAGGGTTGCTTCCTACATATTTCTGCCAACAAAGGCTGCTCTGAGATGACCTGAAAGCTATGAGTTTGTCCCTCCCTATGGACCAGGCCCAGCCTCACTCTCCCCCGCCTGCTCTTGGCTACAGCATCAAGGGCCAGGCCCAGCTGCCATAGCACAAGGAGGGTACTGGTTGACTCAGATCACTCAAATGAAGATGAAACTTCTCTAGTTACCAGGAAATGCTAATTTGAAGAAAAATCTGATTTTCTACAAAGCAAATACAAAACTGTGCAAACAGCTAATTTTGATTGAGGAGCTCATTTTCCATGCTGCAGAGTACTTAGATATTTATTCAGTGTTCACCAAATGTCAGGTACTGTTCTGGTCCCTGGGTCCATCCCAGTGAACAAAACAGACCATGTGCCTGCTCTCATGGACTCACAGTCTTCTAAGGGTAGCAAGTCAATAAATATACACACAGATACATCATGTCAGATGGTGATGAGTGTTTCCAAAAATAATGCAGGGTAAGGAGACAGGAACCCCAAAGGAATGTTGTTTATATAGCAATAGATATCTAGATATCTTTGGTCTGGAAAGATCCCAGTGATAAGGCGACATTTCAACAGAGACCTGAACAGAATGAGGAAGCGAGCCTGCAGATATGACGGGTGGTGAGGGAGAAACATGCTCCTGGCAGGGAGAACACAGGTGCGGAACCCTGAGGAGGAAATGCACTCTGCGTTGAGCAGGGGGCTGCCGTGGCTGGAGTAGAGGGACATGGGAGAAGGGAAGGATGTCAGATGAGGGAGGTAGATGGAGGCCAGATAATGAAGCATCTTGGAGGCCTGGGTTGGGACACTGGGGTTTACTCTAAACAAGAAGAAAAGCCAGCAGGCGGATTTGAACAGAGAGGGCTGACACCATTTGACCCAGATTCTGAAAGGCTCTCTCTGATCACAATGTGGAGAACAGACTGGAGGGAGGTGATGTTGGAAGAAGGAGACTTGGACTGGGAAGGTGGTGGTGGAGGTGGAGACAAGGGATCCCATTCGGGCTCCATTTCTAAGGTAGGGCCAACAGGACTTGCTGGTGGATTTCTGACTTCTAGATTTAAATTTCTAATGCTGGTTCTGAGAGCTCAACTTCAAAGAGCTTAGAAAGGATGAAATTTAAACTAGATGAATGGGGGAGGGCTGGGACCTGAAGAACTCAATTACCTTTACCCTGTGGAGGGGCATGCTTACCTGGAAACACCTGGTCAAGGTACCAAGCAAGCAAGCCATAGAGAGCAGCATCAAGGAGCATCATCTCCATGGACAGCAGGAAGCTGAATTCGTCCCCTTCCACGGGACTGTTCCCAATGTTGCTCCACTGCAGCCCCAGGCCTTGCTCTTCAAAGCGAACCAGGTACTCGGTGCCAAACCCAAATGCCACAGGAGACAGCAGGCTCTGCAGTGGGGCAGAGAGGGCACAGAAGATGAGCAGAGTGTCCCAGCCACCTACAAGCTGGGGAGGAGGGCCAAAGGAGAGGCCATACCGTGTCTGAGTGTAAGGTCGCCTTGGGGAGGGGTTAAGGCAATCCTCCCACAGGAAGGGAATTCTGGGAATGCCTCTTGGGCCTCAGGGACCGCTGTCCAGGACCTACTGGGCCACCAATCACCTGTTCAATGGGACAGAGTTGAGTGGTAGTGCGGTGGGCAAGACAAAGAAATGCCACACAGCCTGATACACAAAAGGACCAATGGTCTTCATGCTCTCCCTCCTACCTTTTCCCCTTCTTCCTACCTCTTTTTTAAAATCACACAGTTCTGGGTAGAACAAAGAAGCTAATTTGAGCTGCTTTGTGAGAATCCCACTTGAAGGGGTCACAGAGTTATCAGTTTCAGAGCCAGGCAGGGAATGGTCTGGTGACCTCCCTAGGTCTGTCAGAGAGGTCAGAAAAACCCTAGATTTCACTGACCACCATCTTTCCCATCTCCAGACTGGAGACAATCATTTTCTTGTTCTCTGTGCAGAGAACACGTCAACTGAATCAGGACTGGAAAAGGAAGTCTGAAGAGAAAGTTCCCCAGCCAGGTCCCCATGGGTGGTCCCTGACATGGCAGAAAGCACCTAAGCACACGCAGAGGACTTTGCTGTTCCCATTTCCTCTGCTCAGAGGTCTCCCTGTAGTTCGCAGGACCCTGGGTAGAGCTCAGGGTGTCTCTTTGCAAAGACATTCTCTAGCTAAATGTTCACAAAAAACATTTTAAAACTCTCAGCCCTCCTGGTGCATCCATGCACCCAAGAAGCTGGCTGTGGCCTCAAAGTACCGAGCGTCTACCTAGTGATTACCAAAATTGCCCATCTCTGCCCACAGGCTGAGTCATAAGGGTTTCTTGCTACTAACCCATTGTGATTATTTTAGAAAATTGGGTGCTATAAATGGCAGCAATTAATTTCTCATTTAACGTATGAACTAAAAGGCAGATGACCTGGCAGCTCTGGAGCCAAATAAGTTTGAGTTGTGAGAACAAGTCAGACTTCAGATCTTTCCTCAAGGAGAGTCCATTCCCGCCTCTACAGCACAGGGACTGGGAGATTCTGGAGGATGGGACAACTGCACCCTCCAGGGCTTGGTGCTGATTAGCCTCACAGAGGGTGCAAATGGTCCCTTTGAAAACAAATAGAGAAAAGACAGTGCTGTTTGCTTGGGTTGGGGAACTTGTGAACTAAGAGGTCTCTGAGGCAATCAGAAGCCAGTTTCTGGAGTCCTCTCCTGGCTGGAGAACCTGACTGCGGACGGCTCATTTCTGTGTGCACTGGTGGAGCATGTTAGAGACACGTGTGGAACAATTCCGATTCAAGTTCTTTTGTAGTGAAACAAAAACTTTTAATGGGCGCATCTTTCTGGACAGACAGAGGCAAACTCCCTCCCTTATGATGGGCTCGAACAGTAGGAAAAGAAGAAAACTGCGTGAAGTGGGCCGCTGGCTCCTCTTTGGGTAATCAAAGGGACCTGTGAGTTGAACTGGTGTTTAAGGACTTCCTAGGGCAGATTAATCCAGCAGGTTTGGTGCGGAGTCACTGCTAGGTCGCTCAGGGTGAAGGCCGCTCCCACTTTGGCCCCTGTAGCTTTTAACTTTACATTAACCTTTTAATCTTACATCCCCTTGAGCCAAAAGGAAAAGTGGACCTTTTCAGAGGGTAGGCGGGGCTCCTGGATGGCTAAGACCTTTGGGGGAACATAAATGAGGCAGGGGTGAGCCCAAGGCCCCTCACCACAGCCTTCTTCAGATCGGCCGTCAGCCGGTCCTGCCAGGCGAAGCACAGGATGTGCGGGAGGTATAGCGTGAAGTAGATGACGCCGCTGCAGGCTGCTGCCAGGCTGGCCTTGGAGAAGAAGGTGCTGAGCAGGAAGCACTGCATGATCGTGGCGGTGGAGAAAGCCAGCAGGAACAGGAAGAGGATGAACGGATCGCTGTAATGCAGGATTCTTCCGTGCTGAAACCAAAGAGGCCACGTGTCAGTAATTCCCGTCTGTACCTGGGGCACCGTCCCACGCAGGGGGTGACGTCTGTGCAGCGATTCCAGGCGTTCCAGAGCCCTCTACCCAGAGGGGTCTCTCCCACCAGCCCGTTGTTAGTGCCTAGACTTCCACAAAGGAACACTGAGTTCCTTTAACCCTATGAATACCACGTTCCCTGGGAGGGGTAACGCATCACGCTGCCTATTAGTCATTAGTAATGTTAAAAAAATTAATTGAGAGACCATTAGGCTGAGGGCTAGGCTCCAGCGTCTGGGTCTCTGTGGAAACAAACCAAAAACCCAACTCAAAGTGACTTAGCCAATCAGAAACTGCCAGCCAGCCCCTCACTGGGGCCTTTCCACTTTAACCAATCAAATATTTTCTTTGTCTTTCTTTGTCTTGCTTCCCTGCCCCCTCAGTGGAACCCAAACTGTTTGTGGTCTGGAGCTGCCCCTGAATTGCTGCTGTTTGCTCAAATAAACACTTTAAAATTTTCATGTGCCTAAAAAAAATTAATGTGCTCACATTTATCTTTTACCAGTAATACCCATGTACTCAGTAAGCAAATCCTTGGTGGGGAGGAGGGTAGTGTGGAGAAATCTGCCTAGAGCAGGTGAGGAGACCTAGTGGGTCTTGGAGCAAAAGAGGGTGGTGGGAGACCACCCTAGACAAGCTTTACCATCGTGCCTGGGGCCCGGCCTGCTGACCCCATCTTTTGTACTTGTATTCTGAGATCTGCCACCCACACAGGTGAAAGTAGCAGTAATTAATCCAAATTACTTGGAAGTGGATTGAGTCTCCCTCATCCATGAATATCACACAAATACATTTCATAGACCTTGCAGGTGAAACTTAGTGTCTTTTATATTAACTGATGAGTGAATCACTTTGGCTATGGTGAAATAGGACCAAACCGGCAACTTTCACCAAGTGAACTGCTGCCCAATTACACTACAAGGTAAACTGAGATTTTCAAATGTATTAGACCTTGGTTATCCTGTGCCATGGGCATCCTATGAGGAGTTGTTCGTCCCCTTCGAGCATGTCAGTGGGTACTGAATGGGTTCTGACCAACTGGTAGGGGTTCCCTGAGGCACCGAGTTCCTCTCAGTGGAAAAGAGGGACGTTAGCAATATCTGGCATGGGCACATGAGAGCTGAATGGAACAAATGTGCCACTTGTCTGCTTTGGCCACTATTTCTCATTCCTGTTCCCATGCCTGCCAGGCACTGACAGAGCAGATCAAGAAGTAGAATCGAACAAATTGGTGTGGGAGGCAGTGGAAGAGACCCATGGTTAACTAGAACCAAAGTCCAAGAATATCTAAATAAAAGTCAAACTCAAAATTAGGACTTAGAGCTCCTGATGTGGTTTGTCAAAGAGCGCTCCATATCACCCGGGAAAGCCCCACATAGTTCCCGTAAGCAAGGCTATGGCTGAACATGTGGCTGTGGGCTAGAAGACCTTTAAGATACTTGTTGCTGTTCTCAGAAGAATGAAATCAATTTTTTATCCTACCTCAAAACAAAGTCCTACAAATTTCTAGAACTGTATCAGTTCTCATCGACTTAAGCCAGAGATGTAAGTCAGTTTCACTGGCGGTGGCTTTCCCTAATGACCACTTTTCTTTTTGTTCCTAATAGCTTAAATAACACTGAAAGCTTCCCATTGTCCTTGCTTCCAGTTTCTTTCCGCATAGTTGAGGTGGGGAGGAAGGGAAAAGGGAAAGATGGGAGAGTGGATCAAAGGAAAACCCTGTTTTGGTGTGGAATGCTCTGTTTCCGTCATCACTGGAACAATGTTCTGGTTCCCACAAGGAGAAACCTTTTTGTGCAAGAAACTCTTGGTGAGCATTCTTTACCTCACATCCTAAAAGCTTTGAAGTCCTAATGGCCCATTCTTAGGAAGGCAGATCTTAATGTGGCTTATCGGCAACGAATCAGGCAAAGTCTCATGGCCATTTCAAGTTTACGTATTTTGACTCCTTTAACTCTGAGGACATAAAATATCTTGGTACTGGGAAAAAGAGCAGACTGAGAGATAGGAAAGAACAAGGGACCCTAGAGGAAGACAACGGGTCCTTCCCCGCATCTCTGGAGAGCTTTGGTGTCCTTGCAAATTTAAAGCTGGATCCAGGTGGGGTCAGGTTGATTGCCCTCTACCCCAGCATTTGTTTTTTTTTTTGGTCCGCCCCCGCCCCCCGCCAATCCTCAGCATTTATTTTGATAGGACTCTAGCACAGGGTTTGGCTAAGGACTGTGAACTAAAATGAAATCCTAAGCCTCTTGCTGACTGAATGGACCTGCTCTTGGCCAAGGGGATCCCAGAGAAACCTTAAAACTGAGTTCCCAGCCATGGCAGGATGGGAGGTCAGATAAACAGAATGTTTTTTAGTGAAACCATGAATGGTGTGACCATAATGGTGATGAATAAATAGTCCAGGTTTCCACCCTTAACACCACTGAAAAGGCTTTCCACATTTCAACTCTAGCCAGTTGTTGGAATGGTAATCCCAGGCAAATACCGCCTGAACTGATTTCCTCTGTGTTTAAAAAGAGAAGACCCCTTTGAACACACAATCAGCCTGTGCTGGGCTCTGCCAACAGCAGCTTCTCCAGATAGTCATGGAATGGGGCTGGAAAGTCTCTGTGGACAGTGGCTCCTCAGGTGGGAAGTGTGAGAGGGGAAGCTGTTATGATACAGGGGCTCCTTGGGGGCAACTTTGTCGCTCTGAGTGTCCTCCACCTTGGCTGAAAGGGCTGGGAAGCTAGATGTCATGCTCTTCTTGATGGCTAGATGACTAATCCAGGTACAAATTTATTAACAGAAGGAAAAGTGGGAGGAATAAAACTATTCAAGATTTTCTGGGCTTCCCCATGTGGCTTACCATGATGAATATTGTCAGGAGGAAGATGCTCATTGACATGATAGAGAAGCTGTCTAGGAACCAGGTGCACCAGATCACTGCATTGGAGACTCCGTGATTTTTCAAGGTCTCCTTCAGTCTCAACTCCTTCTCCAGGACGATGCCTTTTACAGTCATGGAGACAGAGTAGATCCACGCCAGCACCATGAAGATGGGGAAACAGCGGTTCAGGATGATCATAAAACTAAGGGAAGAGGAGAGATGCAGAATAGTAGAGTTCCCCGTACTTGACAGACTGCAGTCTTCAATAAAGGTAGAATAAATGTGTGTTGAATGAATGTGTTAAGAACAAAGCCCAGATGGAGGGAAAGGAAAGCAGAGACATCTCCACTGGGCATTCAATGGGCTGGAATCCTTTAATACATTCCATGTTTGCCCTGAAGCATTACTTTTTCTTTAGAGCAAGATGGTGGCTTTCTGGTTAGCTCAGATGAATGCTATGAAAGTAAAATGTGTAAATATAATCAGATCATCTATGTCACACAGTACAGACATTCCCTGTAAGGCCCTGTAAGGAAAAGACTACAGACCTGATGAGATGGATAGGATTGGAATAGATAGCTACATGCTGATGCTGAGGTCCCAAAGGGTGGAGCACAAACAAAGGGACCTGGTGGTGGTGAGATCAATAACTCCCCAAGGGGGTCAGCCAGCCCAGCCCTGTCTGCCCTGGAAGGTCAAACCCCAGTTATGCAGGAAGAGGCATGAGATAACTAATCAGTATGGCACTTTCAGAAACAAATGATCCATCAATAAATTAGTGATCCAATAGTCACTGACTCTGCCAGCCATGCCCAGGTGGAGCAGACCCTGGGATATCCACTGTAGCAAGCAGGATAGATTTGGTATGCTGGAATTACTTTTTTGAACTTTACATATGTTTTTCCTGTGCTTGATGTGCTAGTAAAGCCCTTGGGATTGTTATCTATGGAAAACTGTTGGGTGTTGTCACAGGAAGAGCCCAATTCCAGCGTGGGAGGGTTTCACTCAAGATGGCCCTAGGGAGAGATCATACCTCATAAAGCATGCACTTCTGGGCCTGGCCAGCAGGGGACTCTCCCACACTGGATGACTCTGGTCCCTACTGCCCCACACCCACCCTGTTCTCTGCCAGCCACTCCCATTCTGATCCGAAAAGTGGACCTGGGCTTTTGCCCCTGGCTCCATTTCCCATCTCTGCCTATTGTCCAAACCCAAACTAACTGCAGAACAGCCACTGTTATCTCTTTACTCTTCTGGAGAGCTGAGGCTGGAGAACCAACTGGACAGCTGTTAAGAGAGGGTTTCCTGTGTCCATACAGGGTTTTATATTACTGTTCCTCCAGCTGGCAATTTGACTTTTCCCTTCCTAGGCTGTGAGTGTTTCTCTCCTCCCTGAACCCCACAGACATATACATGTACACCATGGTGAACTTTCTGGGTTTTCTTTCTTTTTTGTTGTTTTTGCTTTTTTGTTGTTGTTGTTGTTTTGTTTTTGTTTTTTTTTAGGAACTGAATTCCTAAGCCAATTGTAGGTCTGTCCTAGGGGTTTCTGACCGCATCTGCCATGGCAAATGAGCCCTCCCAGCTCCCTCTTCCTCTCTGTCTCTCTCTCTACCGCCCCCTAAACTCATGTTCAACAAAACAGTACGCTGCTTGCTTGGCTTGCTACTGGCCAACAGCTGTCCGGGGCTGGGGTGGTCAGGGAGGCAGAGCCTGGGCGCATCCAGCACATTCCTCCACCTTTTCATTAAGCATGCATCATGGGAATGTTAATTAGGGAAGGAGCTGCATTATTCTGAGGCTCGTAGGAACCAGACCAACTTGTGATGCGGAGTCCAAATTTGCTGATTTGGCAATCATTGGGCAAACACTCTGACCAGAACCCTTCCACATACCAAACATACTACGTAGTGGGAAATTTACACAGCCTTCCTCACCTCCCCCAAGCTCACTTCCCTTGCTTTAATTTTCCCCTTCCCTTTTCCACCTACAACACCAACTCTTCTTTCTCCCTGCTACTGCACTGGCTCATGCTCCCCAGTCTGGCCCCAGTCCCTGGGACTCTCTCCAAAAACACTGAAGCCCCAGGAGTATCCCAGCCCACCCTACCCCACCTAGTGCCCCATATCTTGTCAGGGAGCAGGATCAGGAGCCTCGGACTCACGAGTCATCCACGAAGCAGGGGTAAGGCATCTGCTGGAGGTAGATTCCAACTGGAGCCTCAGCCCCGGCCTGACTCCTTGTGATCCCCTGTTCAACCATGTCCTGCAGATAGGCAAAGCCGCCCCAGATGTATCGGAAGTCTTCCACGGGATCAGCTCTGGGACCAGAATCCCAGTACCTAAGAAGACACAGGAGCGAGGGACAAAGGATGGGACTCAGAATGGCCACAGGGTGACTCAGAGCTCACTCGCTTCACCTTTCTCCTAAATGTTTCCAAACTGTCTGATTCTGTCTTCTAGTTCACAGTATAATCTCAGTTTTGAATATTAGCCACAAGGTGACTCTGTAATTGCTTTCATTCAGGACTCTACGTGGAGCTTTATAAAATATCTTATTTAACTTGATTTTATTGACTTATAGGCTGAGTCCAGTCTCAATCCCTTACTCTCTACCAAACATAATTTCCCACTGCCTTTGGAGAAACTCAAAGAGCCCTGTGTGAAACATCACCTGTCTTTGATCTTATTGGTTTTCTCCACCACATCTATGTCCATCCGGATCTTGTACTTCACGTGGGGTGGCAGGGAGCTGGTCCAGGGATACATGTCAGGGAACACCACACCAGCCCAGAACCTGTTTTCCTCCAGCAGAGACAGAGCTCGATGGGTGAGCTGAATTTCATCATCGTAGCTTTCAAACTTATCCAGGATCAAACACTGCAGGTAATCACAAAGGTTGAGAGAGTTTCAGGAGCACCAACAACAAAGACTCAACTGAGCCAAAAAAGGCAGAGGACAAGGGCTGCTGACCCAAAGGATGGATCAAATGCAAGGAGACCTCTAAACTTAATGTTTGCTTAACTACAGAGTCTGGTGTTAATTTTTCAATGTGTCTAGATGTAGGGGCACACGGGGGCTTGGAAGTGCTGACTTGCTCCTATCCCTGCAGAGTTAGTGAGGACCACACTTTCCAGCTGTCCAAGGCTGTCCAAATATGCAAGTCCTCAAAATGACAAAAATACTCACGGCACTCACTCCCCAGCATGGGGAGGCGAGGGAGTGGGGTCACATTGGCTACAGGCTGCTTTGAAGATCAGAAAGCCTGATGATAAAAGAGTTTTAAAGAGAGAGAGAAACATTCCTAGCGTTGAACCTTCCTGGCTCTCTCCAAACACACAGGGTGGCCAGCTGAGGGAGGAACAAGGAGGAAAGAAAATAGCAGACGGCCAAAATGATTTAGTCTGAGAAATTCCAATTATGATTTTATGACAAATAATGCTGGTAGAGGAGGAATTTCTCTAAATTGTCTCTTTTCTCCTCCTAGAAGAGGAAAAAAGCTTTGCCCACAAAAAAGGAAAACTAAGAATTTTTAAAAATTTGAATATGAGGGTTATCCACTTGTATAGATTTGTTAAAGCATTTATATTGTACTTGCATCTGCTTTTTTTCCTTAACCTCTTGCTCCCATAATCACTAAGGGTATTTGCATTGATGCTTCTTTCTTTCTAATGTAACTCACAAGAGGTCAGATGGCCTTGTCTTGATTAATTTGTTCACCGAATACTTACTGAGAGTCTGCAATGTGCCAGAGCCTGCTGGGCTCCAGGGATACAAGGAGGAAAGATAAGATCTCTTCCCGAAAGAAACTCAAGACCTAATGAGGGAGAGGACTGGAGTAAACCAACAGTCATAATGTGGAAGGATCAGGTTCTGATGAAAGCAAGGCCGGGCCACTCGGCAGCCCAGTGGAGGGATGCAGCTAAGTCTTCCTGGAGGGTCAGGGAAGGCTGCTTGGAGGAAGAGACTCCTGAGTAGGAGAAGAACAGCAGGAATTAGCTTCGAAAAGGAATGAGGGGGTGGGAAGGGAGAGGTCAACTCAGGCACAGGGAACAGTGTATGGGGTGTCCAGGGACTTGAGGGATAGAGCAGTGGCTCCCGTCCATGGCTGAGCTTTAGAACCACTGGGGGGTTTTAAAGATACCTGCACCAGGCTCCACTCAAACAATTAAATCAGAATCTCAAGAGACAGGGCTGGGGCACCCCGTTTTTAAAAAAGCACCCAGGTAGTTGCAAGGCACAGAGGCAAGCGAGCTAGCCTGGGGAGCTAGCATAGGGTGAACAAGGCGAGTGTGAGAGATGAGAGACAAGCCCTAGAGAGAGGGGTGGGACCATACTGTTGCCCTGAGGGACTAGGCAGTGTGACCAACCAATTGAGGGGCTTTCTGGATGCAGGGCTTTCAGGGCTGAGACCAGGGGAGCTCTGGGCCAACCCTAAAGAGCAGTAGGAGCCACTACAGGGCTTCAAGCAGAGGTGTGACATATGGGATCAGACTATGTTTCCTAAAGATCACTTGTAGGGGACAAAGGAGTAAGGAAGCAGGTAGACTGGGCCACTGTGTACTTCAGACTTTAAGGAACAGATTAATTCCCACAAAGAGCCCAGGAGTTACCTGTAATCCTCATTTTACTGAAGAGGAAACTGAACTCCAGAAGACTTGCCTGAGGTCACACAGATAGAAAGTGAAGGCCTGGGTTCCTTCCCTGTTTTCCAGCTGCAGGCCCCTAGTTCTTCCTGCCACACCAGGAGCTGCAAGGAGAGCCTGGCCATAGTCTGCACCATGGCTCACAGTGCCTCGCAAAGCAGGCAGAGCAGCCAGGATTATTTATCCTTACTTTGTAGCCCCGGAAACTTAGGCTCAAGGAGGCTGAGAAATGTTCCCAAGGTGTAGAGTAAATATCAAATCCCAGTTTGTTGGGTTACATAGCTATCACCAGGAGAAACAAAGGCATGAGAAAGGTGGCAGATTGTAAAGATCTGATCAGAGAAGCAGGTTCTGCTGCACTAGGAAGAAGCAGGCAACCCAACTCACTCACCGAAAACTCCCCAATCCCTCACTGAATCCGGCCCCTGTGTCAGAGCGCAATCCAGAAGCCTCTGATTATTGAGGGGTTGTATTTGAACAACGAGGTGTTGCAAGCCCACCCTATTTGGGTCTCCTGAACTAATTGTCCCGCCTCAGGCTCCATGCCCTGGGAGCAGGCCCCATGCAATGTTCTCAGTCTTGTCGATACAAAGAAAGAAAACAAAGGAAACTGTTAGCTTTCTAGCTGACATGGGCAGAGGAACACAGGTACATGAAAAAAATCTAGAGGGCCAAGGCTTAAGTGACACCGTACTAAAGAGATAATTATTTTAAAAGGAAATGGAATTAGTATTTCTTCAACAAATACCAATAAGTATAGTCATATATCAAAGAGTTAAGGGAAATGGAGAATTTTCTTTAGTTAGCTATTCTCTTGCAAACAGGCATTGCCCAGCCTAACACTGGCCAGTCCTTAAATAAGATGAAGTACTTAAGTAGGTCATGCCCCAAATGTTCTCAATACATGTATGTTTTTTTCTGAAAAGCCATAATGTAAGTTTTGCTATTTTACAAATAGTTTGTGTGTGGTGGCCGGGAGTGGGGGTGGGGATCTAATATGTAGACTCTTGCTACAGTCCCAGCCCAAGGGCCTGGCACCCAGTGTTTGTCTGTATTTAACCCAATAACACTGCTACGGTGACAGAGATTGACAGTCTGCTGCTTGGCAAGGAAGCTTCCGAGCTGAACTGCTGGAGTACATTAAAAAATACACATTGAAGTTTGCTTTAGGGAGACATTGATGTTCTACAAAAATGAGTAATAAAGTAATTTCATGTAATCAGTTTGTCAAGTGTAGAAATGCATATATATTAGGGTGGTGCAAAAGTAATTGTGGTAAAACCGCATTGTTGAAATTTGCTGTTTGATATTGGAATACATTCTTAAATGTGGTTATGTTATACATCATTTTAATGTGCATTTCTTGCTTTATGTTTTTTGCTAATGACTTATTACTTGCTGTTTATTTTATATTTATTTTAAACTATGGAAATGATGTTAGACAAAAAGCAAATTTGAGCGATTTTCTTATTCAAGTTCAAAATGAGTCGTAAAGCAGCAGAGACAACTTGCAACATCAACAACACATTTGGCCCAGGAACCACTAACGAACAGTCAGTGGTGGTTCAAGAAGTTGTGCAAAGGAGACGAGAGCCTTGAAGATGAGGAGTGCAGAGACCGGCCATTGCAAGTTGACAATGACCAACTGAGAGCAATCATCGAAGCTGATCCTCTTACAACTGCATGAGAAGTTGCCGAAGAACTCAATAGCTACCATTCTACGGTTGCTCAGCATTTGAGCAAATTGGAAAGGAGAAAAAGCTCATAAGTGGGTGCCTCATGAGGTGACTGAAAATCAAAAGATCATCGTTTTGAAGTGTTGTCTTCTCGTCTTACATGCAACAAAAAAACATTTCTGGATCAGATTGTGATGTGTGATGAAAAGTCAATTTTATACAACAACTGGCCATGACCAGCTCAGTGGCTGGACTGAGAAAAAGCTCCAAAGTGCTTCCCAAAGCCAAACTTGCACCAAGAAAAGGTCATGGTCACTGTTTGGTGGTCTGTTGCCAGTCTGATCCACTATAGCTTTCTGAATCCTGGCAAAACCATTACATCTGAGAAGTATGCTCAGCAAATCGATGAGATGCACTGAAAACTGCAATGCCTGCAGCCGGCATTGGTCAACAGAAAGGGCCCAATTCTTCTCCACAACAACGCCTGACCACACGTCGCACAACCGATGCTTCAAAAGTTGAACCAATTGGGCTACGAAGTTTTGCCTCATCTGCCATATTCACCTGACCTCTGGCCAAGTGACTACCACTTCTTTAAGTATCTACCACTTCTTCAAGCATCTCAACAACTTTTTGCAGCGAAAACACTTCCACAACCAGCAGGATGGGGAAAATGCTTTTTAAGAGTTTGTTGAATCCAAAAGCAAGGATTTTTATGCTACAGGAATAAACAAATTTATTTCTCATTGGCAAAAAATGTGTTGATTGTAATGGTTCCTATCTTGATTAATAAAAATGTGTTTGAGCCTAGTTATAATGATTTAAAATCCATGGTCCGAAACCACAATTACTTTTGTACCAACCTAATAGAATTTTATAATTGGCAATTAGAGTGAATCTGAAATTCAATTTCTAAAATGAAAAACAATATTATTTGAGAGGATGAAATGTCTTCTTTGCACTTCCTGTCATGACACATACATAAAATGTTCTCCCAATTCACTCAGAGCCACAGGGCATTTGGATAGAGTCTTAGAGGTTTTGTGGTCTGATGTCCTCGTTTTGCTGGTGAAGAAACTGGGATCTGAGGAGCAAAGGGCCTTGCCCCAGGTCAGTGTAGGTCAGAAGCAAGCTCTGCATCCGTGTCTTCAGTGCGGAGCTTGCAGTGTGGTGTTCCCCACCCACTACCCTGAGAGAAACCCATGCTCCAACCACAAAGTCGGGCACAACATTCCTGAACAAGGAGATCTCTTGCCCTAGAGCAGCACTCTCCAGTAGAGCTTTCTGCAAGGATGGAATTAATTTACATTTAAATAGCCACATGTGGCTGCTGGTTATTGTATTGGTCAGCACAGCTCTACAGACAGTAAGTTCTTTGAGGTCAGGGCCACGTCTTATTCATTGTGGCCTCTGAAATAGTAATTTCTCATGATGGAGCTTCAATACTGAGTTGAATTGCTTTGTGTATTTTGAACATAATCCTGTCTACCCCACAGTCACATGATAAACCAGGAGAACTTCGTAAAAAGTGAATTTTTGCTATGATGCTAACAAGTGC